GAAAAAAATAAACTGGTTCTCTTTAAATTTTTATCGCCTGCTGGCGTAGTAATATTCAAATCGCGTAAAGCAATAATATATGTAATTTTGTGATAAAAAAGAGTGTTAAAATTTAGTAATAAAATGACCAGTCAATTTTAAAATAGTTAAGGTATTATGTTTCTCTGAATATTATGGCAAAATATTAGAACTGTTTTTGCTCCGCGCTGATAGCCAAAATGCGTTCGAACCATAGTAAGCTGAATTTATCGTAATTACACTGGGGTTTTGCACCCCCCAAAAATGACTCAAGATTGTTATCAGTTTGCCCTTCTCATTTTATTATGTGATAAATAGAATATTATATTCATGTAGATCCAATACATACTAAATTTATTGAACTCGTTGAATAGCACAATATGCTCGCAAGAGGCTCGCATAATATGATTTTATTCAACTCGTTCAATAAATTTAGTATTAAACCTACACTCATTCAATATCCTCGATTCTATATGTTGAATAGGGAACAATCCGGGTTGTGTTAAAATGTCGAACCAACCATTTTTGCACATTTGTAGTTGGTTCGTTTCTACACATAATATAAATGATCAGTCATTTATCTTGAATTATGCTGAATGCAAATCAGTGTAAAACTTCCTGTTCTCAAGTAGCTCTATGTTAATGAAATAGAAGAACATTAATTAAAATGAAATGTAACGAAGCTAAACAACTAAATATGTGTTTAAAACGACTTTTCCGGGATCCGTACATTTACGAAACGAACGCTATATCACTAACTAAAAATATTGGTACTGAAGTTATGCCTTTACGCACTAAGCATATAATATATAGAAAATTCGTAGAAAAATCAGGGGATAAATGTTCGCTTCATATGCACGGTATGTATTACATTTAGTTCTAAAATTAAGTGAAAAGAACTGATTTCAGTTAAAAAACCTATTTACCAATAAAAAGCTGATGGCCTATATATTGCTGAAATGCCTTAATGAAGGCAAAATATGAATACAAAAAAGATTGCTTTGCTCTGGGCTTTGAACTCATTCTTATAGAATCTTTACCGAAACTCTGTGTTCACACTGAAAAAGGACACTCTTTTAAATAGGAGAATTTGCATTCAGCATTTAATACTTAAAATTTCATTTTTAGTAGATGTTCGCTTATTCTTAGCGGGACCTCTGAATTTTACCTTTGTTTTGCCAGCTGTTATCGCGGCAGTGGCAGCAGCAGCTTTACCAGAAGCAGCAACAGGCACAACAACAGCAACAACACGTATACGAAATTGAAATATGACGTTGACTTTACAGGTTATACTAGGTGGGGTCAATATTCTATAGATAAAATAGGAAGTCATTATTTTATATACTAGTATAAGGGGGTCACTTTCTTATAGTAGAAGGGGTCACTATTTTATATAAAATAGTGACCGGGGGTCATTATTCTATGGGGGTCACTTTACAACGTTACAACGGCCAGTTCAGTATGCATATGTTTCTGTTTAAACTTAAATAGTTGATTCTTGTGTTTCTTCAATCATTCATATATATAGAGAATAATAGGTTGGTGCCGTGGATTGAGAAAGTTTATCTGGCGAGGCGGAGGAATTTATTGGGTGAGCCGAAGGCGAACCCAATAAATTCCGGAGCAGAGCCAGATAAACTTTCTCCATCCACGGCACCAATCTATTATTCTATTTATCCTGTCACCGTTTTTTTAAAGAATTTTATTAGGCAAACAACCTTTAATCACACTATCGGAAATGTTTCTATATAAACAAAGAAGGCCCTAATTTTTCTACACCAATGCACTCGCCGTTCTTATTATCTCCCCGTGTATTTTCACATTGAGGGCGCCATTTTGTTTGAAAAATGTGATAAATAAAAACAATTTTTTGTCGAATTTTGTTGTGAAAACTATCTAGAATGAAAGAAAATGGTCTATCTAAGAAAATGAATTCGAATACCAATATCTTTTATTCAGTCGTTAACGCTGTACAGACGTTTAAAGTATTGTTTACGTGACGTCACAATGTAGCGCCAAACAGCACGTGCAAAACAATCAAATCAAGTACGCTATTCTAAAATGTCGCAAACAGTTAAGTTTTACATTTATTTCACTTTAAAGAATTTTTATTTCGCTTGAAAAATTATAGAGTGAAATAAAATAAACAAACAAAGTTTTATCAACGTTTCCAAAATTCGTTATTCTACACACAGAAGATTTAACGACAGTTTTTATATTTTTTCTTGAAAAGTAGTCCGGCAAACATGCATACCACGTGATCAAGTGCCGTAGATCAGTAAAAATATACGGCACCTTGTTATCGGGCCGAAATTTAGACAAGTGACAGGATAAATTATCATATAATCTTTATTTAACTGATTTTCATTAACAAGCTGGTAAAAAGGGTGAACTTTTATGGGTGTTTTCAATTAATAGGATGCTTTCATTGAATGCTGCTCCACCTTGTTGATCTTGTTTTTCATATTTTCACATTCATTCTACTGTTAGAATCAAAATCTGACAAAACATTTAAGAACAAAATGTGCATCTTTTACTAAACAAATGTACATGAATTCCGTGTGACCTGCATTTCCATAAACCATCTCTTAAATCAATTGAACATCTTTTTTTCCTTATGCATTTCAGTTTCCAGTCTGCTTAATACTGTTTTTGGCGGAAAGGTTCAAGTTAAAATACATAGAGGATTAAGACAAATACAGTGATTTGATTTATCCTTTAAGCCTTTAAGACATGGTACTCATTTAGCGAAATTATTTATATTTAAGTCTTACGAGAACGTGATCAAGTATAGATTAAATATTATAAGAATCTTACACCGGCTGCCGGTACAGACCGGAATATCTAGCTCGAGGGTGACTGTTTACGCCGGTAACGAGGCTCTGCCGAGTTTCCGCCGTAAACTGTCACCCGAGAGCTAGATATTCCCGTCTGCACCGACAGCCAGTGTTTGATTCTTTTTCTTGCATATTACATATCAATTATTTTCTGAGCAGAAATTACGAAAACTGATATTCTCATTACGCACTTTTTTCTAATAGTAGCGTATGAACTTACAGCTTCATTCATAACGGTTAAGTGACGTCATCCTAAGAACGTAATTCATTCATAAAAGGCGCGCTGCAATGACGTCATTTAAAGCACGCGACTTGTCTTACATGGGGGGTGTAAGACAGGGTTTTCTAGCACCGGTGTAAACGGTAGATAATCCTGTCTGATATGCAAGAAATGATTTTTACCGCACCAATCAAAATGTAAATTTCGTTCGAAGTGACGCCCTGACGTCAGACATCAACGTTATTATTACGTCATATATTTACGTCATAACGTTAGCGACAACGTTACGCTTGGAGGAACATCTGTCCAGAAAGTTTTCAACAAGGTAACTTAATATTAATTAATTTAAAAATCAACAACACAGTAAACTGTGAATCAAATAGTTACATCATGCGTATATATAGCCAAATATATGTTAATTGGACTAGATCTAATTCTGATACGTCGTGAAATTCAAGAAGAACGTGTATCACAAAGGCTGATACTAGATTTTCTACAATAATAATAATATTAATAATAATAATAACAATATTAATAATAATATAATAATAATAAACACTTTATTTCATGTAAAAGTTGTTTGAAACCCAGTAACAGATGTCCAATTCGTGTTTAAGTATTAAAATAGTTTTGATAAAGTGTTTACATTGGGCGTAACACGTTGGGGGCAGGAACTGACCCCCAAGCGTCTACAGGTACATACATGTAGTATACAGGTTTTCCAACTTTCTATATAACTTTAATTTTGATAGTGGATTTTTTTATAATTTTATCGTTGGTGTTGTATTTGGTATCTAATAGTAAGCCTTAGAGTGTTGAATTTTTTTTCAGGGTTGTAGCAGGGGTCCAGGGGCAGAGTGTGGAGTGGGTTGTCCAAACACTGATACTGCCACCTGTGGTCTTTTTCGGATTTATTGCCATGTTGTTTAGTTTACACCTATTATCAATTTCACGTTAAGGGTTCCCCGAATCACTTCATTTTTTTAGTTGATACAAATGGCATATTATTAACGTAGAAAATGAAAAAGTATAGGGCCTAATACAAACCCTTGAGAGACCCCTGATTTCACTGTTCCACTATTTGAATGATTATTTTCATATTTGACAAACTGTGTTCTGTTTTCAAGATATGATTGAAGAGTATTATTAAGGTGTTTGAGAAGTTGTATAAATTTAACTTATGTAACAATATGTTGTGATCTACCAAATCAAATGCCTCCATTGGGTCTAGAAATACTGTGCCTATCAAAAATCCCTCATCTAAATCATTAAGGAAGGATTCTATGAGTCGTAATAATTAAAACTGATCATGGTTAAAGCATCTATCCATGCCATCATTTCAGACAAAAATCCTCCGGCATATCAGCGTTCGCTATTAAGTCAGGACACATATCTTTGATTTTTCCATATTGTGTTAGTGCTGGTGTCTAAGATATTTAGCCGGGGTAAAGGATAATTGAGCCGCGTCACGACAAAACCAACATAATGGGTTTGCGACCAGCATGGATCCAGACCAGCCTGCGCATCCGTGCAGTCTGATCAGGATTCATGCTATTGGCTTACCAACCCTATTACAAGTAGAGAAACTAATAACGAACAGCATGGATCCTGATAAGACTGCGCGGATGCGCAGGCTGGTCTGGATCCATGCTGGTCGCAAACCCATTATGTTGGTTTTGTCGTGACACGGCTCAAATTATTATACAGGCTCTATCTTACAAAGTTTTTCTTCATTAAGCCGAAATGTCAAAGCATCTGCATTACAATGTGATTTTGTCATTAAAACACCTTAGATTGACTTTCTATTTTTATATAAACATAATGATACATCGATCGATGTCCTTTTGCAGTTTATAATTTTATATCAGATTTCAGAAATCCAAAGGCCAATATGCATATAGTCTCGTATAATTTTAGAAAGAAATGGCAACGAGTATTGTATACTATAACAGTATCTTCTTAATTATATTTAGTATCCAATGAGTGTGACAGAGACTGAAATGAACAATTCTTCAATCATGGCTAATAAATAACGCCATGGGAATTTAGTTTTCATTTAGACAAAAATAAGTCTTGCAGTCAAACCATTTACATGCGGAAGAATAAAACAAGTTCATTACAATCTAAATTTCGTTTTACGTCATGGTCAAGAATGATATTCTTATACATTATCTAGCATTTATCTTTCTTTTTGTTTTGTTGAGAAAAATAAACTGATGTTGTGTTTGCAATTAATAAAAATGTTTAGATTAATGACAGACTATATGACTTCATCAGACATCAAAATATACACTTTAAGATCTAGCTTACGAAAAGTTAATGTATCATGGACAAGATCTAAAACAAATTATGTTAAAGAAACATTTTCTTATCATGGCATAAACATTTGGAACAATTATCTTCAAATATTCAAAATGTTGACACTCTAAATGTGTTTTAAAGAAAAACAAAACAAAAAAACTTAAAATGAATGAATGAATGAGTGAGTGAGTGAGTTGGTGGAGTGAGTGAGTGAGTGAGTGTGTTGAGAGTCTGTCGAGTAATTTGATAACTTAGATAAATAAACAAGTTGAGTTACCATATTCTAGAAAATATACATTTTATAAATTGTTAAGTCGTTTTATTTTTGTTCCTATATGGATGTTCTGTTGTTGTTTTTTTACAATTCAGAAGGCCACACTGGAAATAAGATATATGTGATTGCTGATGTATATTCTTATTGTGTTACCTTCTCTACGTGAAGATATTATCATTATTATTATTATAAATCCCCGATATTTTATTATTATTTATTATTGTTATTATCATTTTATTATTATTATCCTTAATATTATTACTATTATTTTATTATAGATCCCTGCTATATTATTATTATCATTATTATTATTATAGATGCCCGCTATTGTATAGTTGCCTAATTTAAGTTGTCTAAAACTGTTTTCATTTATATCTCTCTTTTTTTTTCTTTAACCACACAAAAATTACAAAATGTTCAACCACTGGACATTGGTGGCAGATTCTTATTGTAAAAAAATATCATAATTATTTCTATTTATATTACAATATATTCAATCATGAAACATCTCATTTAGTGTAAAAGTAATCTGTTAGTTTATTTGAAACATAAAAGTTAGCTTGTGAAATTTGTTGAAGGGTTATATTTCGTTTTGTTTCATGTCACAAGGTCGTAAAACCTTTTATTCTACTTTCAGAAGCCAAATTGTCTAAATCAGTAACAACCCGTATTTTTCCGGACACGGTTTGGGTTCGGAAACCTGTGATCACCGCACGAAACAAAATCTGGTTCCCACACAGAGGCTGTAAGAATCTTGTTCTTCCGCGTCGTGTACATGACTGTCAGGAACCAGCAAATAAATATATAAACGCAACTGTAAACTCGTTATCAAAGGAATCAATCAAGATTGGAACATCCGTGGACACAGGTATGGAAGAGTTTTCAAATAAATTACCAGGTTCCGATGTAGATATAAACATGAATATCGAGAGGGTTAAAAGCAAAAAGTTTAACACAGAAAATGGTAAATTGATAAAAGAAGAGAAAATACAAAGGTCTCAAGGTTGTATTTATAATTATATAAAAGATGCAGAAGATGAACTGGAGAGTAATGAAGTCAATAAAGACGCTGCTGTCAATAACGAAACGGAGGATGGTAATACTCTTGCAGTAAATAACGAAACGGAAAATACACGTTTAAACAAACAAGACACGGATGATATATCTAACAAAGAAAAAAGAAATGAACTATCATTTAACATATGCACTGGTGACAAAGAATATAGTATTGAAAAGTTGGCCAATAATTTAACACATCATGCATTTTCGAAATACAACAAAAACAATAATTCCCTGTGTGACAATAACGCTCGTAATTTGCTAGCAAGCGTTGCCCCGACGTACATCATGGAAATGCCCAGAATTCAACGAAGATTTAAAACCATTCGATATATTCCGGTCACAGATACAGAACACTTATATCATGAACATCCAGAAAAAAATGTAATCGTTCCTAGTTCAAGCAGTTATGCTTATATAAGAAAGAAAAGAAATCCACCTAGAAAATCAGGCTGGTTGACTTACTTGGTATCTTGGTCGTGTAAACTTGGCGCTGTAGGGATGTTGGTCATATTTGGTTTTTGTTTGTTCGAGAAGTACAAAGATAAACGATTATACACGTAATATTGAGGTTAAAAAATAAATATTTGAATATCATTCTTCGTGTTCTTTATTCATCAACTTATATTCCATTTATGACATATACAAGATAAAAGTGTTTGGCAATATTAAGCCGGGGCCATTTAACTGTCCAGTGGACTTTCCTTGGCAATTATTCGTTTCAAAAGTAATGAATACGGCCAGGGAAGTATGCTATTCGTATAGATATGAAACATATTCGCGAAGCACCTTCTTATAGCCCCGAAGGTAATATGGTCATTATGAATATAAAAGATTGAGGTTCTTATCTAACTCGTGAATATTTTTCAGTACTTGTACAATGGCGTGATAAGATTCGACTGAAAGTATAGAAATAACCACGTCATTTCAATCCTCATATTAAAGAAAACAACAACAATTTGATATACATGCATGTCCAATTGGTTAGTTTCATTCAGCGTGAAATAACGTTTGTTTCCCAAAATTTGACTAAGAAACTAAGATATTTGCATATGAAATTGACCTACAAATGATAGAGTGGCAATCAGTTTATAAATTTTAGTAAAAGCTAAAAAAAATCGTCCGCCTACAGTGCAAGTAGGGTTATAAATTTATTTTCACTGATCTCCTCCACGATATATCTTGCATCTTCATCACCTATGGCTTTGACAGTGCTGATGCCTTTTTCAGAGGTAGCGGAAATTGGCCGGCCAGGACGAAGATTATCCTTAACTCCCTTAAACATTTGACACCTACCCGACAATTGTACGATATGAAAGGGCATTTTTCCATAAACTAAATCTAGACAGTGTTTATTTCTGACAGGCATTTACCCAATAACCCACGAATTTTGCAAAAAGCACTTTGCTCCTCTCTCAAGTCACAATGCAACTCAGCCATATTTACAACCAGTATACAAAACCACATGTACATGTGCTAAATCTTTATTGCACATGCAAATCGTGCCAATATAGAGTGTTGGTTAGAAAAATCAATAATCTTTCCAGGGTATATTATACTTGTACTTTCACATACAAATCATGGTTAACTAGAAATGTGTCCATAGGACACTGATGCCCCCACACACCACTGTTCTGTCAATTTTATGACTCTAGGTCAAATATTTTTTGGACTACATGTGCCACAAGTTGAAAACTAAAAATCAACAAAGGGCCATAATTCACAAAATTTCTACATAGTATATAGTGAAAAAATCAACAAAGGGCCATAATTCTGTAAAATTTGGTCACGGCGAAAATTCCTTCCTTTACAACCATCTACACCTTGAGGTTGTTCATCCCTGTAAGTTTAAGCAAAATATGCCATCCGGTTTAAGAGGAGTTGCATTCACAAAATTTCTACATAGTATAGAGTGAAAAAATCAACAAAGGGCCATAATTCTGTTAAATTTGGTCGCAGCAAAAATTCCGTCCTTTACTACCATCTACACATTAAGGTTGTTCATCCCTGTAAGTTTAAGCAAAATCTGCCATCCGGTTTAAGAGGAGTTGCATTCACAAAATTTCTACATAGTATATAGTGAAAAAATCAACAAAGGGCATAATTCTGTAAAATTTGGTCGCAGCAAAAATTCCTTCCTTTACTACCACCTACACCTTAAGGTTGTTCATCCCTGTAAGTTTAAGCAAAATCTGCCATCCGGTTTAAGAGGAGTTGCGTTCACAAAATTTCTACATAGTATATAGTGAAAAAATCAACAAAGGGCCATAATTCTGTTAGATTTGGTCGCAGCAAAAATTCCTTCCTTTACTACCATCTACACCTTAAGGTTGTTCATCCCTGTAAGTTTAAGCAAAATCTGCCATCCGGTTTAAGAGGAGTTGCGTTCACAAAATTTCTACATAGTATCTAGTGAAAAAATCAACAAAGGGCCATAATTCTGTTAAATTTGGTCGCAGCGAAAATTCCTTCCTTTACTACCATCTACACATTAAGGTTGTTCATCCCTGTAAGTTTAAGCAAAATCTGCCATCCGGTTTAAGAGGAGTTGCGTTCACAAGATTTCGGGACGTACGGACGGACTGACGGACGGACTGACGGACGGATTAGTGCAACGCTATATGCTCCCACATTGTTGGGGCATAAAAATCGAGCAAGTTGTAGCCACTAATTAAAATATGCCACTCCTATGTACATTTTAGATATGTGATATGTTTTTTTTAATCTTGACACAGGACTTTACAACATTATATACATAAATAATGACAATGAACACAACTCATAAACAGATAAAACTTTATTCCTTGATAAAAGAAAAACCTAACAACAGTTCAATTATCAAGAAATTACTTTGGTGTGTGGAAGTTGTTTGCAGGATTGTTTAAAAGAGTTTATATCATCTATTGGAGTAGACAGACTTTGATCAGGGTCTCTCAAACACTTGATTTCAGGATCTGTGTCACTGAGATGCTTCATGGCAACAACATTCTCTTGGCAACCAATCACCTGCAAATTACAAGTTTACATTATTAAGCACAATATTATACACAGCTCAAGTGTGCCTCCTTATAGAAACCTACAATAAAGATTAATACTAGACCAAGTATTGAATTTTATAAAAGCCATGCTGTGCTGTCATTCAAAGAAAATACTAAGCATTACATTTCTGTATTTTAGACAAACATGTTTATTATTATAATTTATTATAAAGATTCTGAACAGGTTATTTAGCCCATAATCAACACTCATAAATTTAAAAACCAAAGCTGCTTGCGAGTGTTAAGCAGAAAATAACTGATAAAAGTCTAAATCCCCCCCATGTCATTAAACAAAGAAAAAAAGTCTCCAGACTAATAAAACCAAACCTACTAAAAAAAAAAAATCATAGAGCTATTTTATAGAAATAATACAATTTAGTGTTACAAATTATTTTTGTCCAATAAGATTGCAGTATTTCAAATGAATTCAAATAAATTGACTTTAGTTTATAAGCAAACTATAAATCATTTTAGTAAATTGACAGTTGATAAAATAATAAAATCGAAGCACAAAAAGGCGCTGGATTTGTTTGGGTATCAAAATGTCAGAAAGGTGAAGGTTGTGAGATTATAAACTAATTTGTTTTTGTATAGTGCCACCAATGCTGTTTTCAGTGTTTTAACTGTAGTTAATTGGCTATCAGACTAATTGCAATACTGATATTCAATGCAATGTTTATTTGACTAAAACAATTAAAAAAAATGAGTTGCTTTAACTGGGATTTGAACTCAAGACCTGTCGCTTCCTAAGCGAGCGTGTAAACCCCTCGACCACGGTGAAGTTATATGGCCTGAAGAAAACCACATTATTCAAAATTAGGGTTCGTAACCCTTATTAATTTCGATATATTTTGATCACGCTAAATCTGTTGTTTATTAATACTGGTGTAAATAATCATGGAGCTTAATATAAGCATATATATCTATATAGAATAACACAATATTAGAAATCTTCGACCATTCGGGAACAATTTTTTTTCCCTGAGAAAGCTTTAAAATTAATGCGCCTGTCATTTGACAATCTTTATGCAGTGATCTCCCCTGAGTTTTTCGGCGTTAGTGTACATATAAAGGGATGTAACCGCTTCAGGGAGTTTGGACTACTTTGTTTTTGCAAATAAGCACATCAGGGTCTGAAATTTTGCTACCTTTATTTGTTTGGTCTGATGACCCAAACAAATAAAAATAATAACACTATATTGGTTGGTTCCAATCTAAACCACTTTAAATAGGTAAATGCTTACTAATGAACCCTAGACCTTACAAAAAATATATTCGTTTTTTTTTCTTCAATTTTTAACCACATCAATGAAAAATCTTCATTTTGTTATACCTCTTTTCATGTTATTGTCATCTTTGTGCTTATTTTGTTCAACTGAAAATTATTTCAAATTTTACAAAATAAAAGTTAAATTCTTTAGACCAAAAGATGCTGAAAGAAACGTAATATGCATGGCTTTTGTAACCATGAGAAAATACATGCCTGAAAACTAATCTTTCTCTGTTTATCTCCCAAATACTCATCTGCAAACCAGTCTTGTAAATCTTTCAATGAAAGCTTCTTTAAAACAGCTATCTGAAAAAAGGAATAATTTAAATATTTATTTCATTTCACTCCTATATAACAATGATGACAATTTTTGGATGTGATATTTATCAATATCGGACGGTTTGAAGATGTGTTATGATCGAATCTAACCGCCACAAATATTTTCTTTAAATGTTGTAAGCTAAATCAATTAATCTAGCGACCCCACAAAAAATATGTATCATGATAATTTATTACAACAATAAAGAAAGTGCTGACTTTTTAAGAATGGCATGTTAAGTCACTGTCATATTCTGAATTTCTATCATACTTTCTATTGTTCCACAGTATCTGTCAGAATAAGTATAATCACAATTTTTAATATCTTTCTTGTACCTGTTTTGCATACAATGATTAATTTCTCAAAAATCAAAAATATGACTGCAATATGAACCGAATACCCCTTCTCAGTTTAAGACGCATGCAATTCAATTTCTGGGACAAAAAATTAAGACTGTCAATTAACATTTTTCAAACATTTACACAAACTGGCACCTGATATATCAAAGGTAACAACATATAGACCATGTACTATACAGCTCACCTCTTTTTCTAGCCGATCAAAGACGTAGGTTTGATCGACAATCTCTCTCCAATGTCTAGAGGTCTCCTCTTCTAGCTGAGTGTCCTCTGTCCTCTTCAATGTGATCTCAGATTCTATCTATAAATAAATATAAAATAAAAAATGAATATCTATCTTATTACATTTTGGCTGATCTTCTTTTCTGTATTTACATATATACAATGTATTGATATAGAGATAGTTAAAGCTTTACACTCAGAGTTATCAATACTGTATGATCGTTTTTCAACTTTCCATAATTTTATCTCCTGAATAATGATTTCCTTTTTTCTTTCTTTATCTTATATTTTTTAAGTCTGGTTTAAAGTTGTACTGACACAGTAAAAGGTCATTCAATGTTTTCCAGTTTTACTGGTGGGAGGATGACCTAAGGTGCCCCTCTGAGAACTATTTCAGGCAAACAATCAAGCTGACACTCCCTGAACAATTTCAAACCTTGTCTCTCCCTCCCTAAGGTTATAAAAATACATAAGGCAAAAATGAAGAAAATTTCATAAATTACCAAGGTTTCAAATTCTTCCTGGGTCATACTTTGCAGGATATCTTTCATCTCCAGAAGGAATTTCTCTATCTGTTCATCCACATATTGCATACTGAAAAAATTATCTCGTACTGTAAATTACGGTATAACGGCAAGACCAGAATTTTGCAAAAAGTGAATTTTAAAAATTTCCACAAGGTTAATTGTTTGCGAAATCTAAAAAAACCCAAAAAAATGAATATATTTACATCCATGTAGAAACAGATATGAAATGGCTAGTGAGATATCAACCTTGGTCATAAGAAGCATGGGGATACTAGTTATAATGACAATGTGTGCGCTGTATTACAACTACTTGTTTTAGTAGCGGTCAATATTGTTGAAGACACTTTATTCTATTGGCTGATTAATGCATTTTATTTTGAATTCTAATAATGTTACACATATGATGAAATAAGAGCTATCCATAAGACAGAAGTATCGACTATTCACAGTGCCTGACAGTAAGAACAGGGACATAACTCTGTAAAAAGGAAACTCAGTGTTATGGGACCTGAGTCACTCAAGTAAGATAATCACACATAACAAGTGTGTAAAGTATTAACCGATTCCTTTCAATAGTTTTGGAAGTAACAATTTCATGCAAAACCTTAACCAAAGTGTGACACAGATGCCAGTGCCTGGGTATGTACAACGGCTCTCCTTATTCTGTGAAAAGTCCAGCTAAAAACAAGTGAACAATTTTTAGATGAAATACTTGTAGTCATGACTGAACAGTACATATATTGCTTAAAAACCAAGGGACATAACTCTGAAATAAACTATCATAGCCATACATGTCAGCCAATAATGTGAACAGCTATTTTTTCTTATAAAAACATTTAAAGTTTCATACGTTTGCACCAGGACTATTAGAGATGAAGTACAAACAAGACTGGATTCACAGACCTAGTGGCATACAGTCAGGTTAAATTCTATAGACCCTCATCACTTTAACTGTTAAAGAAACAATATGGCACTAATACCTGAATTTCTGAGCTTTACATTCCACACAAATCCCCAGGGCAATGACACCACACGTCATATGGTTAATACAACTCACACTGTAGCCCAGCTGTTGTTTGGTACGTAATGTGTTAAAACATGGCTCTGTCATACGTGTCTGCAATATAATGTATATAAACAATCTATAGAAACTATAAATTTATTGAAGAGAAAGTTTCATGATTTGCAAGATGTTAAAAAGATATTTGAATATGCACTATGCTGAGTCCAATTTGCACTATAATTATTGAGACCAATTTGCACTATATTGAGTTCTATTTGCACAATGCTGAGTCCAATTTGCAAAATATTGAGTCCAATTTGCACTATGTTGAGTACAATTTGCAGTATTAAGTGTTCAAATTGAGTACCGCTCAAGCCAGTGCTAGGGGACGTGAGGGATGTTGCACTTTTTCATTCATTTTCCCTTAAGTACAGACTCAATCAAAGCGAGTCTGCAATTTTCATTTAATTTTTTTGTGATTAATGCTCTGGAAAGATCACTCTTCCTCCCGATTTTTTCAAATTTCTAATTGATGATATACATGTAAGTAAATAGCTGTTCCTCATGAATTACTCCAATTAACAGCCACTCTTAATATACAGCTTAAATTTACAGCTATTCCTTTTTTATAGTTTTCATACACAAAAACAAAAACCTATATAAAAATATGATGACTGGTTCCCATAACTTACACAAAGCAGTTCATTGAGACAACACTTCAGCAGGGTACCAGGCTGACTCTGGTAATAATTATGAACACAGGACATCGTATCTTCTGGGTTGAAACTCTTGATCTGACAATAAAGCTTCTCTTGTGGAATAGCAATCAGATTGTTCTAGAAAGAAAATGTATCATATTATTATTATTAATTTTAATACCCCCAGGATTTGTTGAAGAAAGGACTCTTTCTAAAACATTTGACAAGTCTAGAAATTGCTGAAGGCACACAACTTTTTACACAAGGAAGACATCTACCTACCAAAGGAGGCTGGTGGTAAATGTGCCTGTTCATGGTTTGAATGGTGCTGCACAAGAGGAGCATTATAGGTCTTATCAGTAAAGCTAACAACTTTTAAAATATCAGTGTGCTTTGAAAATGAGCCACAAAATATATAATAATAATAATGTGGATCAGTTTCAAAGCATAAATCTGTAGAAAGGTAACTCAAAGAGTTATGGAACTTGTGCCTATTGTGTTAGACAATCACAGGTATTTGAAGTTTCAACCCATTCCCGTCAGTCGTTTTGGAGATACCAATGTGTGCAAAATCTTAATCAAAGTGTGATGGATGAGTACAATACCTCTACCCTTTTCTCGAAAAGTCGGCTAAAAAGGTCAGATATACCTGTGTGCAAAATCTTAAAAGTGTACCGGGTGAGTACAATAGCTGTCCCTATTCTTTGAAGAAAATTCAAGTTACAATGGTCACAAATACAAACCTCTAGCACCTTCTGGTCCACAGCTTTCTGACTTTTCAATTTTGACAGGACTTCATCATTTATGCTTACAGCCTCCTGAAAGTTGAAGTAAATAAATAAACATTTCTGTAAAATATACATTTCAGTAAAATGAATATTTTAGATATATGTTAAGGAAATTCTGTAAAATAATTATTTTGCTACACACTCTCCTGGAAATATATGCACCATTAAGGAGCAGTGAATCTGGAAAAAAAGCACGGTTATATCACAACCTTGGTGCAGTTATGGGTTAACTCCTTATATGATTTAATACGCGTTAATCTTGCACTCAGTGACATTTTTTCATCATCCTACTTTGCTATCCATTTCTCGTGTACTTTAAATTTACATAACAGTGGATGTAAAGGTAGAGCTTTTGATTTAAATCACATTAAATTTTACATGGCAATTTTTTTCCATATTTTCAATTTGAACATATTATCTGATTCCAGTTTCACTGACATTGTTAAGGTCATTTGGTCACTTTCAAATTGTACTGATGAAGGGAAAACCTCAGGAGCCCCTCGTTTATTTTAATCTAGGCACCAGTGGACACCAGAGTAAAAACTCTGTTAGCTAGCTGAATAGCTTTCTTGCATGAGAGAATCTGAAGTCCATCGTCTGATTCCAGACCAAATTAAATTGGGGCTAGAGTTTCAAAATCAGCTTGGAACATATAAAACAGGACTTGAACATGAAATAGGTGCACTTGATAAAAATATGGGGAATGAACAAAATAAAGTAGAAATATTTTAACAGCTTGATGTCAAGAATCTTAACTTCTCATCTACAATAAAGCTGAGTGGAGGAAAATCCAGAATTCTGTTCTGGAGTTACATCAGGTATATGCAAACAAAGGGTTAAAAACCAGAATTATTTCATAAGTAGGCTAAATATCTCCCCAAAATAAGAGAATTAAAAGCCCACAACAATTCTGATTTGGTGCGAATCATTCAAAGCCAATATACAGCGTGCTGTCACATAAATCATATGAAGATTTATGAAGAATGGACATTAAAGTAAAATATAAATACTCGCCTGTTGTGTAAAGTTTCCGATGACTAGGGATTCTAAGAAAATTTGTTTTAGGAACCGGTTCACCAGATCCATGAGTTCTGGTTTGGTAAGCTCATCTACTATCCGGTATTTATCAGCATGCGACCAGTAACGCTTCTCTGTCACCATCCAACGTAGAACTCTAGAATATCACCAGCGCAAAAATAAATAAAATATATCTGATATGTACATTACATGCTAGCTATTTGTTGACAATGAGATTTTTCCTGTTTAAAAATCTTAACTGCATACTCAAGTACATATGACTATTCTTAGGAATTAACCATAAGGCGAGGCTGGAATCATCACAAAAACTTCAGTGAAATACTAAAGTTTTAAGTCCAGTAACAAGAAGAAATGTGTAAAGATGTTTTTGTTAATTTATCTTTTATTGTTGGGTTTTAGATAGCATCAAAACAGTATAGGTCAAATGACCACTTTTCTAGCTTTTACTGGTGAAGAAAGATCTCAGGTGCCCCTCTGTGCATTATTTCAGGCATGAACGGGCACCTGAGTAGAACCACTACTGGTTAATAAGGTAGCAGGATAGCCTTCTGACATAAAAAAATCGAAAGTCCCTGTCCAGATTCAAACCCACAGGGGTGAGGTGCAAGTGGTTTGAAATCAAAGACCTTAATCACTTGGCAAGAAATGAACAATTACAGCAGTTGGGGAGACAAAAATTGTATGGGAACTCTTATCTAGATATATTTCAGTAAATATCTCTTTAGTTATTGGCCTTGGCTAGTGGCACATCATTCAACCCAATATGTGAAAGTTGAAGTAAATATCTTCAGTGGTTGCAGGTAAAACCCTAACCTAGTGTAACACCAATGGCAATTAAAGAATGAGCAAGACACTGACACTATTTTCTATACAGTAAAAGAAAAGGATGTATTTTTTCCAAGTTTATTTATATCCTGATTTTGAAATAATGAATTTTCAAACGCTTACACAAATTTGGTCATAAAATTACAGCATTTCTGCAAATTTTGGAAGTGAAGTATTAGTATTATAACATACAATAATAAAACTGGGCATACCTTGCAGCAGACGAGGGTTTCATAATCTCATTATGGTAGGTTTTCTTTACTTCAGCTTTCATTGCATGAAACAGGTCATCAGCACAGGAGAAATTTTTAATCAGGTCAAAGGTCAGCAGAAGTACTTCCTGTTTAGAAGAATTCAAATATTTGTAATTCAGCATCAAATTCATTGACAAAATTTCGAAAAAACAGTTATACATTTTATAGAAGTTATGGCTCAAACTAATAGAATATGCATGAAGGTCACCTACATGTAGATATATGCATTATGGCTTAATCTATTAAATAACATAAGGGTCAAAATATGTGACAAAAATATCAATTAGTACTGTCATGTTCTATCTAAGAAACCCTGCACAACACATTTGTACTATATGATGATAGTGAGCAGATTTATCATGTTGACTCTAGATAAAAATAAAGTTTGAAAATTTACAAAGGGCAAGAAATCCAAATTTATACAAAAGAGAGTTACGGTTTTTCATCACAATGAAATCTCAAAGTACATGTACAAATGTAGTTAATGAAACAAACCGTCAAAAAATCAAATCTTAGACAAATATATTCAAGTGTAAATTTTCACAACCCAGGAGAAAATGTATCAGCAAAATATGCCATAACTTACTTTTTTATCACCAAAATTTAATTTTCCCCTCCAATTTTTCCCTTTACTTATGGAGTAAGAGAAATTTCTGCATATTTCAACAAGTTACCTGGTACAGGATATTTTTGTGAATAGTAAGTAACTCAGGCTATCTTAAATAACTTAATACATTTTCAATTTTTCACTCGTTAGAACAATTCATAAATTTCTGTAACAATGAACACAAATTGGATGACTCAGTGTTTTACGTACCTGTATCTTATGATTAAAGCCATCCACTTCTACCACCATACCTGTCTGAACTGGATCACACATACATCCAATCCTGAATACCATCAAATAATTTATAACACATTCATTTGTTCTTTCGAACAATTTCAACATTCAATGGCACCGGTCAGATTGTTATTATAATATAGAGGATACTAAATGAGTGTAAATTTAATACTAAATTTTTTGAACAAGTTGAATAAAAATTATATTATGTGAGTCTCTGGCAAGCAAAATATTACTTTATTCAACGAGTTCACTAAATTCAGTAATGAACCTATACGAATATAACATTATATTTATCACATACCCAAAATCAAGACTGTTTAAAGTGAAAAAGAATCATTTTTCATTGACACACCGAAAGTTTAATGGTAACATTTAGTGCTTCCTTACTCTATATTTGTATATTAACTCAAATGACGTCATGTCAAAATATATGCACAGCTGTGCAAAACCATTTTGATGTAGTCTCAAAAGCGGTATGGGTGTGTGATAAAATGAAGCTTAGTATGATAAATCATACCAAACATTAGTGTATTACTAAATTAATCTAAAGTGAGATCCAATGCAGTCTGACAATTTTGACGGTTATTTTTTTTTTTGTCCAGAAATTTTTAACAAAACCCAATAATAATGCCTGGTTAAGTAATTATTAAAGTAAAGGTTTATCTGTGATGTCCTACTACACTGTTGATTGTTTAATTTCAGCTTATTTGATTTTTGGAAGGACATGCACAATTTTTTTGGGGACATATAAACAGTCTACTATAACGCTTAGCTCATTAAATTTTATCATGTCATGGACTAAGAACCTTAAAGTTTTTTTTTTTTAAATGGGTCACTTAAGCCCTTTACATGCTGAATTTATGCAATGCCCAGCTTTAAAACTGGAGCAATCTGAACACTGAGAGACTTGAATATTATAATACAAAAGTTGAGCTACCAACTGCAAAAGAACCTGGTTATACTGTAGTGATGTGCAGGCTGGCCTGGCTCTATACCTATGGCAAAGTATAATATCTTTTATTTCCAGCAGATCAAAGTAAGCATAGATTATTAAGCTTCCCTTTTTCATATAGAAATGTTTTCATCTTTTACATAAAATAAAGCCTCTAAAGATTGTTAATAGTCATCAGAAGTTGCAAGGCTCTAGTTTATAATATATACTGTAAAACACTTATTATTCGTGAGAAATTTATTTTCGCTAATATTCGCGAGTTTTCTAAGACACAAATTCATATTTCACATTTTTCGGGAAGACGCGAAATTTTGTTGACGCGAAATAATTATTTTGGACATTTTGCCTCAAATTCGCGAAATAAGGTTCTCGCAAAAAATAAGTGTTTACAGTATAATATATAAGACTTGTTGCTAACTTACTTGTAACCTGCTACCACAGCAGGGTACGTCGGCTCAGAAATATTCTGATTCAGTATTGCAATAAATAAATCAAACAAAGCCGAGCTGAAAAAAAACAACATATGCTCATTGACTATGAAAACTAATACAAATTCAGCAATCTTTATTTATAACATCTTTGACTTTTTTATCATTCTCTTTTAAACAAAAGAATGATTTAGACATATATCATACTATAAGGCTTCGATTGAAAGGATAACTGGCTAACAATTATGAAAAACTTAAAACAAGACTTTAAAACAAGGACCATACACCGCTTTTCATGGAAAGGCACAGAATTGACACATTGAAGGTTCCATGATAACCCCTGTATGATCACATCTGCAGCTGTTTCTAAATTCAAAATTTCACCATATTCATGTTTAAATGTTGAATTATGCTTAACCCAGTGTTTGGGGCATGGAAGGTAACTTGCACTTTCCAGTTTAATCCATTAACAGGCTCAATCAAATCGAGTCTGCAACATTTCCTTTGTTGTTTTGGGCGGTCTTTAAGGATTCCGTTTTTATCTATTTTGTAGATAATTACCAATCATCCACTCATTACATTACATTTCATTATCTCAAACAATCATCCTAAAACACAAAGCTGCTCACAGTGCTCATATTAAACGACAGTGTTGTGGTTAACTTTACTTTTGAAAACTTTACCTTGAATTTGACCTTGAATTATAAGGTCAATTTAAAGTCAAGGTTATTTTGCAAGTCAAATTGATGCTTTCATTTAGATGTACATATAACAGATTAAAAACAAACACTGACAACTGAACAAGGACTGAAGATGTCCAGAAACAGTAAGGCATAATATATATAAACTTTTTTTCTTTTACACAAGCCCTGGAACTATCAATCCAAGTTGTGGCACTGAAAAATTATGAAATTAATTTTAAGGGAAACTAGAACTGTGTCAAAAGGACTGACAACATATATATGGTATATAGTGAAAAAATCAACAAAGGGCCATAATTCTGTTAAATTTGGTCACAGCAAAAATTCCTTCCTTTACTACCATCTACACATTAAGGTTGTTCATCCCTGGAAGTTTAAGCAAAATCTGCCATCCAGTTTAAGAGGAGTTGCGTTCACAAAATTTCTATATGGTATATAGTGAAAAAATCAACACAGGGCCATAATTCTGTTATATTTGGTTGCAGCAAAAATTCCTTCCTTAACTACCATCTAAACATTAAGGTTGTTCATCCTTGGAAGTTTAAGCAAAATCTGCCATCCGGTTTAAGAGGAGTTGCGTTAACAAAATTTCTACATAGTATATAGTGAAAAAATCAACAAAAGGCCATAATTCTTTTAAATTTGGTCGCAGCGAAAATTCCTTCCTTTAATACCATCTACACATTAATGTTGTTAATCCCTGAAGTTTAAGCAAAATCTGCCATCCGGTTTAAGAGGAGTTGCGTTTACAAGATTTCTGGACGTACGGACAGATGTAAGGACAGACGGACGGACAAGTGCAAAGCTATATGCTCCCCACTTTGTTGGGGCATAACAATGCTAATGACTACCTATAAATGTATGGAACTGGTGGCTCTGTTTGGTTTTACAGTGCACCAACACAGTATAGGTCATATGGTACAAAAACAGGAAAGATGATTATGGCAAAGGCAAAGACTCCTCACCCTTTGGAGCTAAGAGATGCATAAACTCCAATTATTAGAACCCTTTTTAGTTGTCTCTTACGATCATGCAGGAATGAATGGTGGATGCAATACTTATGCCTCAACCATTAAAGGCAAACCCTCACCCACAAAGGGTGAAGGAACTTGTATGTATATGTAAAGCATAAATGAGTAAAACCAGCCTTACCTCTTCAGATAATCACAAACAACAGGGCTTTTCAAATGCATATATAAGTATCCTGTAGGATATAATGAAAAAATAGATATTAATAAAACATTCCTTCATTTAAACCTACTCTAAAACAGTGAAAATACTTGATAGGTTAGAAAGAAGGAGAAGTTAGTTTAACCAACCAGGTTACCAACCGACAGATACTCTTGCAAATAGCTATCAACATATTGAATTAATGACTGGAAGATGTGATAAAATCAGCTGTTCTTCCAATATAACTTAAAATTATGTGAAATTTTCCCCTAATATAACACATAGGGTAAAAAAACAACAAAAAGGTTACAACGCTGTCAAAAATAATAAATGTACAAAATTTGGACCATACACACTTGATCACTTGATTAGAACAGCGATCTCGCCTTCCAATGGAAATCTTGGTTAACGAATAGCACTAAAATCCATTCAGATGGTTTATACGGGCTCAGGCTTATGGCCTTTGTAATCTTATCAAAATATATCAGAACTTCAATCTTGTATAACTACATGACAAGGCCTATTACACCCTCAAAGAAAATATCTCCTACAGTCGAACTTCGTTCGCTCGAACTCGGAGGGCCCGTGAAAATTTGTTCGAGAGATCGGTAGTTCGAGCCAACCGAGGTTGAAATATTTGCATGTATAATAAGATCGTACATATACCTGTTTGAATGTTACCTTTGTTTTTATCCATCTGTATTGTTATTACATTGTAACAATGATCGGAGAATTCAATAAAAATAATACAGTCTTCTTTATCTTATTTTATTATACACAAAATTATACAGAGTTAACATTTATCGTGAATCACAATCTAAAAATAGCACAGGCAAGTCTGTTCATTTATCATGGATCACAATCTAAAAATAGCACATACAAGTATCAATCTATTAATAGATCATGATTTTATAGCACATGTCAATACACAATTATCAGAAAAAGTCATTTATAGATGTCTGCTTCGCAGCGCTTTTATCAAAGTCTTTCCTTGCAAGTGATTTATAAATCGAGCACATCATTGTCAATTCAGAGTCAGCGTTGCTCTGGCTCTCAAAAAAAGTTCTTAATGTTTCACAAGCTTTCATAGCTTCCCCAATCGATGGTGGCGCTGGCGGTATTGGTTCATCATCTTCTTCCGTTTCGGTTGGGTCACTTTCGGTTGAGTTCCGTGCCGAAACTAAGTCCTCAATAATGTCTCTATCACATGTTTCCGCACACACAGGGATATCTAAATCAATGTTCATGAATGAGTTAACGTCATTTTTTTCCATCTTGAATAATTCGACAAGTCTGGCGATAGGAATGTTGTCGTCCTCGTCGTCCGATTTATCTTCAACGGGCTGTTGGTCTTGAAATTTGAAGCCTGCGTGTCTGTAGCAGTTACTGATTGTTTGGGCAGTAACCATTGACCATGACTGTCTTAAAAGACGCAACGCGTCCAACACATTCAACACTAAATCTACACGATTATCTATAGCTTCCAGTTGTTTTTTGATCACTTGACGACGGTAATGTACTTTTAAGTTTTTGATTATTCCTTGATCCATAGGTTGTGTATGACTGGTGGTATTTGGTGGTAAAAACACAAGTTCAATAGATTTAAGTCCTTTTATTTTCGGATGCGCCGGACAATTATCAATCACCATAGCCACTTTTCTGTTCTGACGATGAAATTGTTTATCCAGTTTCATTAACCAGGATGTGAATAGTTCCCCTGTCATCCATGCTTTTGTGTTATTTTTATATTCTACGGGTAATGTCTTAACATTCTTGAAACACCTGGGATTCGCTGACTTTCCTATCACTAACAACGGAACCTTATCATCACCAGACATATTGGAGCACACAAGTACAGTTAAACGTTCTTTACTTCTCTTTCCACCCTGACAACTGACATTTTTGAATTCAAGTGTTTTTTCTGGTGTAAGTTTATAGAATAGCGCGGTTTCGTCGGCGTTGTAAATGTTCATAGGAGAATAATTCCTCAGAATTGTTTCTAGATGTCCTAACCAGGCGTCCATATCTGTCGAGTTACGATCTACCGATTTAGCTTCACCACATATTGTTTTAAATGTTATTCCGTGTCTTTCTTTGAAACGATCTAACCATCCAGTTGACTGTTTAAATTCTTCAATTCCCAACTGATCTGCGAAAAATTTAGATTTCTCTAAAAGAATCGGGCCACTAATGGCGATGTCTTGGTCACGAGCTTGTTTGAACCATTGTAACAGCGCGGTCTCTAATTCTTCGTAGCATCCCTGGAAAAAGAATGAAAAATAATTAAAATTTAAGCATTAACGTTCATGTATAGCGTTATTAAGTTAAAAACATATATTTTATGCATTAATGCGAAATGGAATTTTTTTAATGTTGCATGAATTAATCAAAATGCTTTCGTATAGCTCTACAAAATAAGCTTACATATAGAAATCTTTATTTTAAGAACATTATTACTCTTTCATATGGAAATTAACTTACTTGTCTCATATTTCGACATTTTGGTCCATTATTTGGTAAACCCTTCTTTAATTGTCTCAGCTTTTTTTATCCACCCTGACAATGTATTTTTCGGCACATCGAACATTTTAGCGATTTCAGTTTTTGATTTCTGACCCTTTTCAAACTCAATAATAGCGTTGTACTTGATCTCTAATGGTTTTTGATCTAATTTTCTTTTAGTGCCTTGTTTTCCTGTAGCCGACAAAGCTATCCCCCCGTTTCCGGGTCCTTCACTTTGTTTATTCATAGTTGTTTTCTCTGACATACTGTTTTGAGATATGAGAATGATACTAAATCGAAACCACTTTATACAAGCTAAAGAACTTGGGCACATTTCACTCATTTCTTTTAATTTCATTAATTACCATTAATATGCATTTTGTTTGCATCTTAATTAAAGACGGTCGGTAAACAAAACAAACAAATCGATGAGCGAATATCACCTGTCATTTTGTATAATTCAACCTTAATTGCCTTTATCACAAGGTGTTAAAAACACGAGACGCCGACTGTCACTAATTAGCGGGTCGTTCACAGCTTTTGAAATTTTTTTGTGTTCGACCGAAAAGGTGTGATTTTCACTATATTTCTATTGGAGGGACCGAACAACCTGTTCGAGAGTTCGAGCGATCAGTGTTCGAGCGATCCGAGGTAGAACAATATATGTTATATAGGGAATTTGCCGGGACCGGACGATGAGTTCGAGCGAAGGGAGGTGTTCAAGCGATCCGAGTTCGAGCGAACGAAGTTTAACTGTATTTATAAATGATATACACATCAGCTGTTTTATCTTACCTTTTGGTACATTAAACTTTGTGTCTTTCTTAAAGAACAATTTATGTTGACTAGATGATGACACCATCATAGGCACTGGCTTTAAATCTTCTGCTGGGAGGTCTTTCAATGTAAAATCTGTTGCTAAAAATAGAATCAGCAAATTGTAATATCATGAACATCTTTAACATCTTTAAGCAGCAAAATGAAAATGGTACTAGGGACAATCCCCTAGCTAGCCAGTTATTATTTCAGTGTTATTTTTCACTTTTGGGGGAAGGGGGTCGGTGCCCTTTGGAGGGGGAAAAATGCAATAGGAGGGGGATTTTTATACAGATCTAAAATATTGATGTGTCACATGATAAACTTGCTGGGACACCAGGAGTAGCTCCCCTTACTTATATGAGAACGATTTGTAAACAACCTTGCTTAACAGTAAGTCTTACAGACATAAAATAAAGCATTTTTCGGCAGTTAGTTGCAAAAAAATTAATATTCATAGCTGGCAAATTTGGGCCCCCATATTATAAGTGGAAATTTCAGCTTTGAGGGGGGAAAAAACATACCATTTTGAGGGGGGGAATGGGGCCGAATTTCGCCGAATATTTTGGTGAAAAAAACCACTGTATTTGGATACTTTAGAATGGATTAAAATAAAATTTCTTGATGAAAATTGTTCCTGATTTGTACAAGATTACAAAAAATCTATAAAAATTCTACACATATAATTTAAAACTGACTAGTAAATAATCATGTCCTATTTTATCATAATTACATAATTATATGCTATGTAACCAGCCTGTATCAATAAGGTACAGAAAAAAAAATCAGTAGACTGAAATAAAGAATAGGAAACACAAGTTTATGAAAAAGATTTAGTATAAGGTAACTCTATAAGTGACATTATACTCATATTTTTATCATCTAGTTGAGCTGAATTGACATCACATTTCAAAAGATTGACTGCTATCGCAATGACTGACAAAAAACAGATATTGGAAAAATGTTTATGATAAAATATAAATCTGTCTAAAATATATACTCTTTTTATAATTAGGACATTACAGTTAAATTCTGACTGACTTTAACATAAATTTCCTAACCCTAAATGAGTTATTTATCATTCATGCGAAGTCAAATATAACATTGAAAACAATTGTGGCAAAATATAAACTTTTACCATGACTTTTACCTGTTCACTCACTTTATACCCTTGAATAGGTACAATGTCACTTAAATGAATTAGTAATAAATAGCAGTAATAAAATTTGCAATAAATATTCTGAACATCTTACCAATAAAATGATTCTCCTTTGGCAAAAACAGCTCAGCATTCTGCTCAAAATCTTCAATAGAAAGAAAATAAGTTTGAACCGACTACACCAATGTTTATGTAGACTCTTAACAGATTTGAAAAACTCGGTAACGAGGGGAAAATTGTTGACTCAGTAAACCTGATTTACTCAAGTTTCTGTTCTTTTTGTTATAAAAACAACACAACAATGATCAAAATGTTGAAGGTCATTCATAAACTGCTTGTTTAATAAAGTGGCAGTCTCCCAGTGCTGTTTATTATTAACATGAGCTGGTTCCTTGGTAGGAATAGTATGTTTCAAAGATTATCATACATATGTACAAGGGTCAGAGAACATAACCACTTCGCTGCTGAAATCTTATCAATTTATCAGCGTTGATGAAACTGCCAGTTTTTATGCTACATGTATTTCAAAGAATCTTATTTTTTTTAAATTTCAGACCCCAAATGAGTACAAAACACTTTCTCCATAACTAACAATTACCTATTCCTCCACAAGTGACTAGTAATCCCATATGATTTCTGAATCAGCAGTGAGAGACAAATGACCATTTGACTCAGTTTAAATTTTCTCTATACTGAATATAATATTCACAAAGCTCAACTCTTCTTTAATATGTAAAAAGTCTTAACTTGCTTTTTATACTCAGAATGCTTTGATACAAGGAATGAACAAGGACTTAAAAAGTTATGATCAAGGTACAAGTTTGTGGACGGTAACAGCAATGCTGCCAGGACTGTAACAATACCTTTCCTTTTTTTACAAAAAAAAGTCAGGCTAAAATTGAATACAATGTACTACAATCAGTAGTATCCATAAATCATTACACAGAAATCCGTCTAAAAATAATTCTTTACCAGTCCAAGATTGTAGTTGTTCTTTAGTAATGTCTTCAACAGAATAATGAGTGCCAAACCAATGTTCTTTCAAGGGGCAATCACTCTCTGTGAAGTTTGTAGAGGTTAACATTACATTACAGTTGTCTGCCCTTAGATGTTCCATACAATTGTTTATAACCTGAAATAACATAAAATAAAAGCTTAATACTACATGTCACAGCAACACAAATCTATTTTAAGCACTATTATAGCTGAACAAAGTGGTAACCATGGGTAAATCACTAAACTTTACTATAGTGAAGAAAGACTACCTTCAAAACAGATATTTTCTCGAGGCCTAAAATTTGTCAAATCAATATGTCAGTTTAATTGGCGAGGTTAAATATTTCTCAAATGTCTACTGTCAGTTCAGCAAACTTTTATGGAACAGGTAGATACTAAGCAAACATCTTTTCCACAAAAATCTTCAATTAATGAAATCAGCAAAAATTTAACCTCTCGCACATATTTTCTGACTTTACAGTAACTGATCTTCTGTTAATCTGATATAAAAAATTTAAATCAGTAAATATTGTATAACTGACACCAAAAATTACAAAGTGTTTCACATTCTTGGTATAAAACTGTCAAAAAATGACCATGAACATCATTAAAACCAACAAACATCTGACAATATTTGTCAGAAACTGACAAACCTTTTCATCAAACTTGTACAAGAATTTGTGTCCTGTAAGATAATCTTCTGGAGGGTACAACTGCATATTGTCAGAAACCTTTTCTACATATTCAGCTGGATCTCCCTGAAATAACAATCATAACTGCTAGATAATTTCAATTCTTTTTATCATGGACACCAGGATAAAGAATGGAGAATATTTGAGTTTTAAAAATTTGTTTTAGATCTTGATCCTAATCCTTAAAACTTTGTTAACACTGGGCCAGGTATTGAGGACTAGTTGTTAATGCCATTCTATAAAATTGCGCTACATTTTTATTTGCTAAGATCACAATAGAGATTATTTCAGTGACAATCAATGCTGTCTCTTAGGAAGTGACCTTCATTTACATACCAGAAGGCAGATGTGAAGTTCCAGATGAATATGTTTAAGCTGTTGTGGAGATAGACACTAACAATCCAGACAAAACAATTGCATGTCATTTGTAAATTTAAAAAGCAATAATTAAGTAAAATTTCATACATAAGTGACATAGATGGTATTCAGCAACAACATATATATGACCTTTAAGACAAGTTTGAAGTTTCAAAAGAATTCCTTCAATACAAAATTGCACTTAAAATCTTATTTGAGTGTGTAGTAAATAACGACTCCACGATTAGTTGGAACCAGAGTGTTCTTCCTATAACCAAGTTTAAAAATCAAGTTAATGAATCTTATAATAATTTTAAAAAAATCCTTTTAATAAAACGTAATATACCTTCTCTTTCCACCTAAACTTTGTTTCTTCAATAACTTTAAGTTCATTATAGAAACTCTCCTGCGGTCCTTCTCGTTGCATCAGGTCGAGGTATTGAAATATAACTTTAACAACCTGTTTACAGAAAATAGAAAATGCATATTGTCAGTTCTAGTTGTACTATTGGAATACATCACAGAATATATGCAACATGAAAATGAATAACATTTCACCATTAGGAAATTTTAAAATGGGCAGATCAAAACAAGTACATGAAAATTGCAGACTTATATTAATAGACAGGACTGATTTTGAGAATTTGGCGCCCTATATGATGCTAGAGGCATTTTGTAGTACAAATGGTATCTTGGTGTAATTTACCTATTTAAGGTATGCTGAATCCGATAAAGGTGGATACCAAATTGAAAAACTTGATCTTGACCACTGAAATGGCCATTTAAAATGACCACTAAAATGGCCGCCAAATTTCTTTATCATAAATGAATGATAGATCAAATAAAACTTTTAAGGAAAGGAGAAGCCTGAAATTTGTCACAAAGCATGTTTAGGTAAAAAATTAGACACCAAAACAGAATTAAAAAAAAACAAAACAATCCAAAAGGGCCGAAAAATCCAAGATGGCAGACATTTTTCTATAGGCCAATATAATAGTAATATAGTAATATAAGATTGAACTACACTACACTCTTTCCTGCCCTATCTGCTAGATAAAGAGCTTTCATGTATTTTATCTGGCACTCTATGCAAGCATATAGAGTGGCTACTCAGATGCCTACTTATATTTACACAGCGTGCTATGTGTGAGCGGGTTAAAACGTGTGCATGCAAAATATACATTAATTAAAGGCACCTTTCTCTGAGTACTCTTGGGTTTTGGTGTTCGTTTATGGCCGTGAAGTACGCGGGGAAACAGGCTAGCAGTCTAGCGGGCTAACAGTGTGAACTGAGCGGTCTAGCGGGTTAACAGTATGAAATGGGCAGGCTAGCAGTGTAGCGGGATAACAGTGTGAACTGGGCGGGCCAGCAGTCTAGCGGTCTAGCAGTGTGAACTGGGCGGGCTGGCGGGCCAGTGGGTTAAACTCTAAAACTTAACTGATTCAACATGAAAACGTTATGATACATATCCTAGCAGTGTGAAGTGGGTGGGCTTACAGTGTAGCGGGCTAGCAGTGTGAATTGAGCGGGCTGGCGGGTCAGCGGATTAAACTTTAATACTTAATTCAATCCACATTAAAACGTTATGATACATTTACTAGCAGTGTGAAGTGGGCGGGCTAACAGTGTGAAGTGGGCGGGCTGGCGGGCCAGCAGACTAAACTCTAAAACTTTACTGATTGAACATATAAACGTTATGATACATTACCTGGCAGTGTGAAGTGGGCGGGCTGACAGTGTAGCAAGCTAGCATTGTGAACTGGACGGGCTGGCGGGCCAGCGGGCTAAACGTTAATACCTAATTGAATATAAATCAACATTAAAACCTTATGCTACATTTCCTAGCAGTGTAAGCTCGGCGAGCTAACAATGAAGTATTAAAGATTTTTTGTTGTTAGATGTTCTGTTAACGGTTCTCGTCTCTGTTTTAATGTTATCGGTCATCGTCTTCGTTCTACTGTTATCGGTTCTCGTCTTTGTTCTTCTCCGTTTTCATGTCTATTCTTCTGTAATCAGTTTTCTTGTTGTCAATTCTTCTGTCATCGGTATCGAGGGACATCTTCATTCTTCTGTCATCAGTCCTTGTCTCTGTTATTCTGTTATCAGTCCTGGTCTCCGTTTTCATGTTGTCAATTCTTCTTTCATCGGTTCACGTCTCTGTTATCGATCCCCGTCTCAATTCTTCTGTCATCAGTTCTCGTCTATGTTATTCTGTTATCGGTCATCATCTGTATTTTTCTGTTATCAATCCTCGTCTCCGTTGTCTTGTTGTCAGTTCTTCTTTTATCGGTCTCTGTCCTGTTATCGGTTCTCGTCTCCGTTCTTTTGTCATCGGTTCTCGTATCTTTTCTTCTGTAATCAGTCCTGGTTTCCGTTTTCATGTTGTCAATTCTGCTGTCATCAGTTCCAGTCTCTGTTATCGATCCTCGTCTCCATTCTTCTGTCATCAATCCTCGTCTATATTATTCTGTTATCGTTCTTTTCTCTATTTTTCTGTTATGAATCCTCGTCTCAACGGCGTTGTCTTGTTCTCAGTTCTTCTGTTATCGTACCTCGTCTCTGTTTTTCTGTTATCGGTCCTCATCTCTGTTCGCTTGTTATCAGTTCTTCTGTTATCGGTCCTCGTCTCTGTTGGCTTGTTGCCAGTTCTTTTGTTATCGGTCCCTGTCTCTGTTCTTCTGTTAGCGGTCGACGTATATATTCGCTTGTTGTGAGTTCTTCTGTTATCGGTCCTCGTCTCTGTTCGCTTGTTGTCAGTTCTTGTCTCGGTTCTTCCTTCTGTTATCTGTCGTTGTCTTCGGTCTTGTACTTTAGGTACTTGTTTCCTGTTCCGTTAAGGTCTTCTTCTCTTGTTTCTATCGATGCCGTCATTCTGTTATTATCTTATTATTTACATGTATAAGTGGAATTTCTCGTAAAATACAAGAATTCTTGGGCCGAAAAAAAGTTCGACAATCTACTTTAATTGGGATGATATTATTCATTTTATTAAAAAATATGAATGATCGCTTATTTTAATAATAAAAACAACAATTTTAGTAGGAGAAAAAGTCCAACCATCCATCCATATTTCTGTTACTTACTGCGAATTTATATTAGACCTGGCTCTGTTAAATGTAAGCGGCCGCCATTTTTAAAAGTTGTGTATTTCACGGGAGGAAAATAATTGTGTTTGATTCAGAGGGATATCATTTGGATTTGTTAGTCATACACCTTTTTAAAAGAAAGAAAACTTATTTGAGGATTGTAACAGACAATAAATAAGTGTTGACAGATGTGTAAACATTTAAAAAGTGGCTAGGAAATTGGAAACTTGGAATTGTTGAAAGGCTGCCTTACGAACGCTGGGTTGTTTACTTATTCTTCGGGCTGATGGCTGTCATTGCTTTTCAAGTTTTCATAAAGCATACGGCAGTTATTGCTCGTAGGAAACTTAAATATGCCCAAATGTCATCAAGAGCAGTTTTGCATGTGGAAGGAATGTATTTTTCAGACTGTTAAAATGAAACAAAAAAATTAAGAGACGATATTTGCTGATTGGTAATTTTGAAGAATAGAAATTACCAATCAGCAAATATCGTCTCTTTTTTTTGGGGGGGGGGGGGGCGCAGTATATATTTTAAAACACTTTCTTTAAAACACTGAAAATGACAGAACACCTGAAGTGACATTTTCCACATTTTTTCCCTGAATTGAATTCGTTTTTACGAGATAAATAATTCCCTATTAGAAATATTATTTCGTTTTAACGAAGTATAAAATCTTAATTACAAAATATTGATTCGTTATTACGAAATATTATTTCGTAATTACGAAATATTAATTCGTTATTACGAAATATTATTTCGTAATTACGAAATATTAATTTGTTATTACGAAATATTTATTCTTTGGTAATATTTATAAACTAAGTTTATTGTTAGATATAAGTCAAGTAAACAAAACATTAAAAGTGATTTTGTTTTCAATCTTAGTCTTATACCTTAACGCGCTAGTAAAACAGTACTGTATATACTGTTTATTGAGCCATTGGGCTATAATCGCTATATTTGGTGGCCAATCTCATTAAAATCTGATCATATTGAATATTCATTTGATTTTGACAAGAATAATTAATTGCATCATATTGTATCATAGTTTTAATGACCTATTTTCGTATTTTTAAGCAGCCATTTTGAATTGACCTTATGAAGGTCAATGTCAATTTTATTTTCTTGGTATCCGCCCTCATCGTCTTCAGCATACCCATGTTAGGTTAAAAACTCAAGATATTACTTGTACTATAAAATGCCTCTAGCATTCATATTTTCTTAAAATCAGTCCTGTCTATAAGATAGAATCTATTCATAAGAGATAAAAGTGCAACATTTATCCTGCTACTGTCTATATTATCAGCTGGATAAAGCCTTGCCGAATAAACTTATAGATCTATCTCCAGTCATTACGTCACATGGTTAGCCTATGATGACTTCACATGGTTAGCAACAAATAAAAAACACTACATATAGGCATTGTTTTATCAGGGAAATGAAAACATTATAACAATCTTAGAACATGGTTAAACTAGATAAAAGCAGAATAAATTGAATACAAGGTTGTTGTCAGGATGGAAAAGGTTTATCCAGTTCGCTGCAAAAGCGAATCTTGGCTTACTAAAACTCGCCAAGATACACTTTCTCGCTCACCAGATAAACCTACTCCTCTCCAACATCAACCATGTATTGTCTATTTACCCTTGCACTGGCTTCAGCACTATTCTATCTTGATCACTGAATAACTGACAACAATTAGGACTATAGAAAACATTACAACACTGAGATGAAGTACACTACAGGACAAACTTTTGACAGCTGCCTCTCAACACTTGACACCTGCTGTTTTGATTATAAAATTCTGAAAAAGGGAGTTAGCTTAAAGACACTGACAACAAAATACAAATGACAAAATTAGACGAAAGGTGATCTACTTTTTGTTTTATATCAGCACAAACAGTAAACTATACTCATGTCAGATTGATGTCTGTGAATCCAAGATACAAAATTTCCTTAACTAAATCAGTAAAGGTGTCAACCATAAAGAACACAAAATTTGAAAAGTTAAGAAAAAAATTACCACTCACCTCACTCCAATGTTTAAGACCCTCATCAGTTAAGGTGATACAGATGTCAAGTCCTGTCCAAATCTGGTTCATATCATATCCTTCTCCAGTATTTCCTCCCAGTAGCTCCACTGCCCACATTCTAAAATATAGCACTCCCAGTGAAAAGTGTCTCACAATTTATTTACCTGTTCTCATACATTAGTCGAAGTCCCGATGTCTCAAAGTTTTTACATAAGTCCCTTCAACCTACTAATGTTCTTCTGTCGTTGTTTTCTTTCTAAATATCTATAAAAGTTTTTTCTATTTTATATAGGTGAATTACAGTCAACCCAATGTATTTGTAAAAATTTTGCTTATCTTTTTATTTGGAAATATCTTACACTTAAAGTCATTAAATACATTATTTTATAACACATGATCAATAATATGTTCTACATGTATACAAAATTCAGAGCTGTCATGTTATAGCATTTTTTGACAGTTCTTCAAATTACTTCCCCCAACTGCTGTGGATTTGAATCCAGACAGGGACTTTGGATTCTTTCATGTGAGGAGGATATCCAGCTAGCTTACAAGCATCAGTATTTTTATACTCAGGTGCCTGTTCATGTCTGAAATAATGCACAGAAAGGCACCAAGGTCTTCCTCCATCAGATACAACTGTAAAGTCACCATGTGACCCATACTGTGTTGGGGCGTAAAACCAAACCCTAAAAAATATTTCTCTATTCAAATTACATAGATAAATTTTTACCTTTTTTGAAGATAAGAGTAAATACTTCCTTCGCCTTCATAGTTCAGCAGATTTGAAATATACTCTATAGGCTTTGTCCTGTAAAAAATCAATCATAAAATCCTGAAATAAGAGGGATGTCCGTTACCATAAACTTTAAACTATCCAGTTTTTTTTGTTTTTTTTTTTCTTTTTTTAATAATGTTTTTGTTTTGTTTTTATCACAACAATTTATCCCTTTGAAATTGGGAAATTTACTTGCACTAACCATGAGATAATTTGAAGAAAAAAATAAAAAAATCTAACACTCACTTGTTTATAGACAATACTTAACATAGACATGTCTAAATGGTAAATTTAACCATAAAAATAGCCACAAACAATGTAAGCCTGATTGTTAAGCATGGTAGATAGTGAAATCTAATTTTTGGGAGTTTTCAAGAATTTTCTCAATTTTCTATATTCAGTCCTTATTTTATGTGAACAAAGCAGTGGTTTAAGAATATTTTGGAACGTTTAGCATGCTTCAAAGAACCTTAAATGCAGCTGTACTTTAAATACAGTTATCTGTGAGAGCTCTCATGGATGTCTCTGTGACACATTTATAAAATGTTGCCATACTCTCATGAGAGTACGAATATTTATTTAGCCCCAGCAGCCCTGACCATCAAACACATTCAACCTCAAACACCACCCCGGAGTCCTAACTCAAGATAGCTACACATAAAATATACAAAGATATCATCAATAACTATAGGCATTAGTTATTGTCTATAGTTATTAATGCCTAAAGTGTGGCGGCGTGGCCGAGTGGTAAACGCGTCAGACTAGTAATCTAAGGATTGCTGACCGTGTGGGTTCAAACCCTGTCAGGGGCAAGCTGTTGTTTCCTTGAGCAAGAAACTTTACATTCATTGCTTAGTACTGGTTGGTTCCAGGAATGGATTCGAGAGTGTTTCAATAAGCTTATAGCTTCCAACACAATCAAACTAAAATAAATTTGTATAAACCAACTATAGGCATTATGAAAGTTAAGAGAATTATACAGACAAACTGAGACTATATGCTCCTCTGGACATCTCTTAAAGGCTCATTCCTTCAGCTGTAGCTTGTGTAACGCATGATCAAAGTTTTATATACACATTGAATACCAATTACAATTCATTTACTGTATTGTCGCCTTAGTGCAACAACAGAATAAGTCCTTCTAAATTTAATAGCAGTTAATCAGTTATTGCACTAAGGTGACAGTATGGTTTTACTATTGAACTGACAAAATAGAACATTAAAATATCACATATAAACCACAAACCTGTAGTGTCGCTGCTGGGGCGGCAATGGCCAAGTGATATACAATTTATGCGTCTTTTCTATTGGCACAACTAAAATAAATAAAAACAGTGAAGTATTTTTCATTTTATCATTCTAAAGGTTATACAAAATATTACACAGATGTACTGGCGTGCGAGCAGTTCCCGTACAAAAATCAAAGTTATTTAAACATTATTTTTTATTACGCTCACTCACCAAAGTTTGAATTTTACACATCAATATTCGGCTCGTCACACAAATCATGGAAATTCCATCATGTTCTAAACATAGAATAACCCTTACTTATGAGGCCTCATATGGGGTACTGAAATTATCGATTATTTTGTATTAAGAGAAGTAGTTCCCGTACATAAAATCTAACCCATTATAATTATACAATTTTATTATATCGGACCTATTTTTCATTTACAATTGTTGAACAGACCATTATCTAAGAGATAAATAGCTGTAATTCAGGAAATAGAGCGTAGACTAAACGCGGGTATCTATTACCCGGTACCGTTACCCCAACGCATTCACATGCAATAGCATGCTTGTATACATGATATTTTACGCATCAAAGCCATAAAATTATTTTATATAATAATATTGGTCCAAATTCTGATAATTAAACAAGTTTTTATCACATTGCCTACTTATCTGTAAACAGGTGGTATTAGTGGAAAACCCTTTAACAAGCCTCACGTGTAAGTATTTTTGCGCATGCGCCTAAGGACGGAATCCCCCAAAGAAAACAGGGTCACGTTTTGACGACGCACAGGTGAAAGTGATTTAAAATGAGACTTTTTATACGTACTGCCGAACTGTCACTTAGATTTTGTCTCGTTTATGTATCTGCTTGATTTGAATTGAATTTTTGAAGAATGCAAGTAAAAATCAAGCGTTTAAATGAAAAATACGGGTACTGCTTCTGTACGGGAACTGCTCCATGCCAGTATAGGCTGACCAGGCTCTATACTGGTGGTAAAGGCTAATTACATTCTAAGCAAGTATATTAAAGCAGCATACCTCTAGATTCATGCTACTTTCCATTAAAACTTTGAAAATATATTGAAAAGTTAAATATTTTCAAGTAAACAAAGGAAGCAATTTACACATTGTTAATGGCACTTTCAATCCACGTCATTTACCACATAAATGTCAATATATGCAAATAGCTCTCAAAAATAGTGATAAATACTAAAATCAGTAGTTCATTACATTTATCATGTAAATTATTACTTGAATGGTCAATATTTCTACTTTTCTTAAAGTCTGAGTACAGTTTTCTTAGGGAAAATTTTCTGGAAAGATTTGGTTCATCTTGAGGCATGCAGCATCAAGGGTCACAATGGACTGTAAACCTTGAATAATATAAACTTTCAGCATGCATATTACCTTTAAATAATTTTCTAAAACCATCAGTATCAAATGGGTCCTTGAACTTGGTAAAAGAAACTGGGGCCTCCTTACTGGAAAAAAAAGAAATATAGTATCATTTATTGTTTTATGCATGTCATTGAATAACAAAGTTTAAAACTTAGCCCTTTAATCTCATAAAATATCTTACCTTTGCGCAAAAACATCTTAAAATTTGACCCCAGGAAAAAATCTTCTTAAAGGTCACCTTTGTATATATTTAAGAATGAGATCACCTTATCATAACGTAATATAAACAATGCGGTCAAGAGACGGAAAGTAAAGTAAAGTAAAGTAAAGTTAAAGTAAAGTAAAGTAAGTTAAAGTAAAGTATAAAGTAAAGTAAAGTATAAAGTAAAGTAAAATATAAAGTAAAATAAAGTAAAGTAAAGTATAAAGTAAAGTAAAGTAAAGTAAAGTAAAGTAAGTAAAGTAACATGCTACACATTTGGTTTCCCAATCTTCCATGTAGGCCTCTAACTAACATTTTAATACAATATAACCTTCTACATAAAGGCATGGTGTTTTAACATTTATAACATAATTTGCAAAGAAATTATTACAAAGGAATATGTTCATTAACTTTGCAAAAGAAGGAAAAAGTCATAATTCTTGCATTTAAAACTATCAATTCCTCCATACATGGCACTACATTATTACCAATAAATTTAACAAGGAATACTTTTAAGTGCTGTACAACTTCGGTAGGCATACCCTCTGTAGAGCAATCACCTCTTTACAACAACCACATCAATTCTTCCCAAAGTAAGACTACACAATAAATTTAACCCCTCTAGAGCAACACCCCTAAGCAACAACTAAAACCTTTGTCTCCCACAGGGTGTTCCTGGCTGTTTGAGTGGGAAAGTACTTACCCTTTTTTTGTTAAACCCCCTAAAACTCTTCTCCGCCAGGCTTCAAGGGGTATCCCCGACTGTCTGTAAAAAAAGAAAATGGAATTTTAAAATTAATTCAATTTTAATTTTTTTTTAATCTAAATTTTTCATTAAAAAGTTTTTGGGGAGGATTTAATTTAATATCTTTGTTTTGCAAATACCCCACTTTGAAATTCAAAAGACTTTGCCCCAAGAGCTTTTTCTATTTCTTCACAAGTACTTTTCAACCTCCTCTTACATTAAAAAGTCTGCCCCAAAAAAAAAATGAATTGCCATATAAATATTCTAAATTTGACTTTCCCTTTCAAAAAAAAAAAATTGAGGGGAAAATTTTAAAACACATTCACTGATTAAATTGCAAGCAATGCAAACAATGATCATTCTGCTGATCTAGGTCTCCATTGGTTGCATGGGTAAAATAAGCTGCCGGAAGCAGGCCAAATATCTGACGATGGTAAAGCCTTATTAAAGTGTCTTAACAGATACAAGACATATGTTTTGATTTTGTTAGTTTGTTTCATTTTACGCCTTTTGCCTTTTGTGGATCAAACCCACGCCAAAGAGGTAACTGAATTAGAAGTCATCGACTCTAACCCCTTGGCCACGGAGGTGGTACCTACGTTTTGAATGTACAGCTAGAGTCATATACTGTGCTGTGTAATATCTGTTGAAGAAGTCTCTAAGCTGCCCGTATACATCAATGCCTTTCTCTGCTGGCGTAGTCTTCAAACTTTTCAAATTTCCTGTAGATAAAGATAACAAATTATGTTGATTTTAAGACAATAAAATATAAGATGAGTGGTGGCCTGGCTGGGGGATAATGCATCAGACTAGTAATCTTAGGTTTGGTGGCTGCATGGGTCCAAACACAATCAGGGACAAGCCTTTATTCCTTGAGCAAGAAACTTAACATTCATTACTTAGTATTGGTTGGTTCCAGGAATGGATTCGAAAGTGTTTCAATAAGCTTATAGCTTCCAACAAAAACTAAAACAAACTAGAACTATCACTAAATGTGATTAATACCCCCACAAGTCTGCTTCGGAAATGAGGATGTTACTAGTAACAGAATACCTTGTAAAAGAATTGAAACATAGAGTTATGGTTGTGGGCAATTAAAGATAATTGTGGTTCATGTATGTTGCATTTCCTTTCAATGTGGTTGGCCATTGATGATGTTTAATTGAATTACTCTGTAATAAGTCCAGAAAGACAAAGAAAAAGAACAAAGGGCAATAACTCTATAAATACTGAAGACAAGAAACATGGCAATGCCATGAAACCAGGTTTTCAATTATCACCATTGTAGATAAATATGTTGTATTTGAAATACAAATACAAGCAACAAACAATGTAACTATGTGCAATGTAAAACATGAATAATGTAGGAGGAATTGCCACTGAAGAAGTGTTCACTATAATATTATGTATAAGGAAAAAAACAAAGGGCCATAATTAGGTCAAAAACTATCCAATCACAAAACCCCGACAATATGTGCCAGGGTGCTTGATGACAAAGCTTCTGTGAAAGTTTGAACAAAATCCGTTGAGAAATGTAGGACGAGTTCAGCACAGAAGAATTTTGTTCACTATAATTATATTGATAATTCTGTATAATGAAAAACAAGTTACAAAGTAGACATGAAATAATATATCATATCTTTTTTAAATTACCTCCAAAGATGATATGACCTTTGACTGCCAAATCAAGTTAAAATCATGTAAACAGGATTTTCAATGTTAATGTCACTGTGACCTTGACCTTGGAGCCAGCCATGCGGAACATGCGTTCTGCACGTCATCTTGATGTGGTAAACATTTGTCTGAAGTTTCATCAAAATTCTTCAAAGGGTTGAAGAGTTACAGAGCGGACAGGATTTTTCAATGTTAATGTCACTGTGACCTTGACCTTGGAGCCAGCCATGCGGAACATGCGTTCTGCACGTCATCTTGATGTGGTAAACATTTGTCTGAAGTTTCATCAAAATTCTTCAAAGGGTTGAAGAGTTACAGAGCGGACACAATTTCAAGTTAAAATCATGTAAACAGGATTTTCAATGTTAATGTCACTGTGACCTTGACCTTGGAGCCAGCCATGCGGAACATGCGTTCTGCACGTCATCTTGATGTGGTAAACATTTGTCTGAAGTTTCATCAAAATTCTTCAAAGGGTTGAAGAGTTACAGAGCGGACAGGATTTTCAATGTTAATGTCACTGTGACCTTGACCTTGGAGCCAGCCATGCGGAACATGCGTTCTGCACGTCATCTTGATGTGGTAAACATTTGTCTGAAGTTTCATCAAAATTCTTCAAAGGGTTGAAGAGTTACAGAGCGGACACAATTTCAAGTTAAAATCATGTAAACAGGATTTTCAATGTTAATGTCACTGTGACCTTGACCTTGGAGCCAGCCATGCGGAACAATGCGTTCTGCACGTCATCTTGATGTGGTAAACATTTGTCTGAAGTTTCATCAAAATTCTTCAAAGGGTTGAAGAGTTACAGAGCGGACAGGATTTTCAATGTTAATGTCACTGTGACCTTGACCTTGGAGCCAGCCATGCGGAACATGCGTTCTGCACGTCATCTTGATGTGGTAAACATTTGTCTGAAGTTTCATCAAAATTCTTCAAAGGGTTGAAGAGTTACAGAGCGGACACAATTTCGTTTGACGCCCGCCCGCCCATCCGCCCAGCCGCCCATCCGCCCATCCGCCCGCCATACCCCAATCTAATAACCAGGATTTTCAAAATTGAAAACCTGGTTAATAAAGTTATAGTTCTTGTGCACTGCACTTCCTCTTATTGTGCTTGACCATTGTATGAAGTTGTTTTGAATTCCAACCAGTATGTTTTAAGTTATGCTCCGGACAAGGAAAAGTATCAAAGGGCAGTAACTCTGTATTTTGTCAAAATGGAGTTATGGCTCTTGTGCACTGCACTTCCTTTGAATGTCCTTGACAACTGTATGAAGTTGTACTGAATTCCAAACAGTAGTTTTCAAGTTATGCTCTGGACAAGGAAAAGTAACAAAGGGCAATAACTCTGTAATTAGTCAAGATGGAGTTATGGTTCGTGTGCACTGCACTTCCCCTTAATGTGCTTGACCATTGTATGAAGTTGTTTTGAATTCCAGCCAGTAGTTTTCAAGTCATGCTCTGGACAAGGAAAAGTAACAAAGGGCAGAAACTCTGTAATTAGTCAAGATGGAGTTATGGTTCTTATGCACTGCACTTCCTCTCAATGTGCTTGACCATTGTATTGAAGTTATAATGAATTCCAACAATAAGTCTTCAAGTTATGGTCCGGACAAAAAGAAAGCAATGGAAAAGTAACAAAGGGCAATAACTCTGTTATTAGTCAAGATGGAGTTATGGTTCTTGTGCAATGCACTTCCCCTTATTGTTGCTTGACCATTGTATGAAATTGTTTTGAATTCCAACCAGTAGTTTTAAAGTCATGCTCTGGACAAGGAAAAGAAACAAAGGGCAGTAACTCTGTAATAAGTCAAAATGGAGTAATGGTTCTTGTGCACTGCACTTCCTCTCAATGTGCTGGACCATTGTATGAAGTTAAAATGAATTCCAACAATTAGTCTTCAAGTTATGGTCCGGACAAAAGAAAGCAATGGAAAAGTAATAAAGGGCAATAACTCTGTAATTACTTTAGATAGAGTTATGGTTCTTATGCACTGCACTTCCTCTCAATGTGCTTGACCATTGTATGTAGTTATATTGAATTCCAACCATTAGTCTTCAAGTTATGCTCCAGACAATAAAAAGAAGGCAATTGAAAAGCAACAAAGGGCAATAACTCTGTAATTACTTTAGATAGAGTTATGGTTCTTGTGCACTGCACTTCCCCTTATTGTGTTTGACAATTGTATGAAGTTGTTTTGAATTCCAACCAGTAGTTTTCAAGTTATGCCACGGACAAGGAAAAGTAACAAAGGGCAATAACTCTGTAATTAGTCAAGATATAGAGGATATTTGTTTGTTTGTGTGTAAGATGAAATTTTATTTCATCGAGTGGGCTTTAAAAACAGTATTCTCACGAGTGGCGTAGCCACGAGTGAGAATACTGTTTTTAAAGTTCACGAGATGAAATAAAATTACATCTTACACAACAAACAGACAAATTTTCTTTTTATTTTATGCTTAAAAACAAGTTAAAACGAAATTTCCATAATTTTAACGTTAATATTAAAATCTGTTTCCCCCATTGAGAGCCCCATTTAGACGGAATTTCTCATTTAAAACAAGAAGTCTTGAGCTGAAAAAAAGTCCGCCAATCAAGGTTAAATGACGGTGATATTTATTCATTTTATCAAAAAATATGAATGATCGCTTGTTTTAATAATAAAAAGAAACAAATCTTGTAGGAGAAAAAGTCCAACCATCCATCCATATTTCTGTTACTTACTGCGAATTTATATTAGACCTGGCTTTGTAAAATGTAAGCGGCAGCCATTTTTTAAAGTTGTGTATTTCATGGGAGGAAAATAATTGTGTAAGATTCAGAAGGATATGTTTTGGATTTGTTAGTCATACACCTTTTTAAAAGAAAGAAAACTTATTTGAGGATTGTAACAGACAACAAATAACTGTTGACAGAAGTGAAAACATTCAGAAAAGGAGCTAGGAAATTGGAAAACTTGGAAGCTTGCAAAGGAACGCTGGGTATTTTTACTTATTTTACGAGTGATGGCTGTCAATGCTTTTCAATTTTTCATAAAGCATACTGCAGTTATTGCTCGTAGGATACTTTAATATGCCCAAATGTCATCAAGAGCAGTTTTGCATGGGGAATGAATGTATTTTTCAGACTGTAAAAACGAAACAAAAAAAAATTTAGAGACGAAATTTTGTGATTGGAATTTGAAGGAATAGAAGTAAGTTTTCTCTCTTTACTACTTTTGACATTTAAGTTATTTATCTATTTCAGCTTTGCTATTTCTTTAAATAGCCTGACATTGTCAGAATTGTCAGTAAAAATAAAATTGAGGTACTACATGGGGAAAATCTTAAAAAAGTAGTTTCGTCATTGAAAAAAGTGAAATTATATTTTGATAATTTTCACTGTGAAATTATCAAATATAATTTACACGGATAAATCAGTAATCCACTGAAAAGCATAAAATAAAAGATTATGTTTCTTACGCACTGCACTTCCTCTCAATGTGCTTGACCATTGTATGTAGTTATATTGAATTCCAACCATTAGTCTTCAAGATATGCTCCGGACAAGGAAAATGCAACGGACAAAAAAAAAAGCAATGGAAAAGCAATAAAGGGCAATAACTCTCTTATTACTTTAGATAGAGTTATGGTTCTTGTGCACTGCACTTCCCCTTATTGTGTTTGACAATTGTATGAAGTTGTTTTGAATTCCAACCAGTAGTTTTCAAGTTATGCTCCGGACAAGGAAAAGTAACAAAGGGCAATAACTCTGTAATTAGTCAAGATAGAGTTATGGTTCTTGTGCACTGCACTTCCTCTCAATGTGCTTGACCATTGTATGTAGTTATATTGAATTCCAACCATTAGTTTTCAAGTTATGCTCCGGACAAGGAAAATGCAACGGACGTCTGGACCGACCGACCGACCGACCACCGGGTGACTCCTATATACCCCCCCAAACTTCGTTTTTGGGGGTATAATTACATATAAAAGCCTGTTACATGCTGACAGAGTAATATTTTAAAACTGGTCAGTTCTGTTGGGTCTGGCATCATTAGTGAGAACAAATATAGTATCAAGCTTACAACAACAAAATTGACCTAAATTCATTTGATATAAAACCATTACAATACCATTTATTACATTCATTTTTTTGCATTTATCTCTATATCTAAAAAAGTGTTGTTTTTTTTAAAAAAGACCGAATTGTTGAAATCATGCTTCTTTTTTATTAGAACTGGATTGTTTGTAAAATTTGTATTAGAGCTGGGCTGTTTGTAAAATCTCATTTAAGCAGCATGCCTCCAGATGATTCAAAATATTTTTAGAAAATGAAACTTGAGATATATTTTCTAAGATTTTAAGAAATGTAAAGATTCAAGAGCCAAGTACAACATGTAATAATTTACATGTTATTTACAATCAATAAGTGATTTTGGTATATTTATCACTATATTTCTACTGTGTTACTAATGCAGAAAGGTTTTGTTTTTTTTCGCAATTTTGACCTTATTTTTGGTAATTTACGTGGTTTGAAAGCAATGTTTGTAATGCGTAAATTACTTTCTTTGTTCACTTCTTTTAAATACATTTTCAAACTTTCCATGAAAATCAGTATGAATCTGGAGGCATGCTGCTTTTAAGCTCACAGACTAACTGTAAACTTACAATAAAGTCTTCAAAAGTGAAAATGGCTTTTAGAATTTTGCAAGTGATCAATTACTCCCAAGTTTTTAGTTAATATCAATCATACTTACTGGACTTATTGAAAAAGTAAAATTTTACAAATTATATTCTTTAACTGAATATAACGATATAACTGAAATTATATACAACAGAAATTTACACCTAAATACTTGTTTTTCACATCATACAATATATTTCAGTTTTAGAAACAGACACTCAGACATACAAATATTTCCTATATAACATAAAATGTGAAGTGATTTTACCTAGCAGAAACTTGGACATAGGGTTTCCATGTTTAGCTGTAGCTATCAAGATGTGGTGAAGTCTGTCACTATCACTAGAAACTGTTTCTTGAAATTCTGTGGAAAAAAACAACATAAAGTATAACCACATATGATTTTCAAGACATTAGATTACAGCAAACTACAAAGGGACATAATTCTATTAAAATCCATTATAGTCTCTTGTACCCTTGCCTTTAAATTAAATTGATGATTATTATTAAGTAAATTTCAAGCTTCTAAGCAATACCTTTATGAATTAAGGCCAACTAGATAGGCATTAATAGGACAAAAATGCACATTCCATTGTTTGGTCAGTCTACAGCCTGACAGCATGACATTTGACAGGACAGAGGTGGTGGTGGTATTAGTAGTTTTCGTTTCGAATCACTGCAATAAGCCACATTGAATTTACCAGAGCACAGTTCAGCCACCACACCAGGACAGATGGACAATGACAATTTTTTTATACCCCAACCCCTTGGTGGGTGCATCAAAATGGTAGTGAAACAAAAACACTTATCAAGATGATTATGATGCTGATGACACTTTTCATGGTTAATGTGATGGTAATATGAAGATATACACAGTCTTCGAAATTAACGACAGTCCAAGGCCCGAGGCCACTAAATTTAGCATTGGTCCGTTGATTATTGCAAGGTTGGTGGTCCGACGGGCCAGTAGATGTTGGCCATGAAAAAAATATTATAAGAAAAATTCAACAAAATAATGAAGCAGGGCTCTCTAAAAGATTGATATTTTTGCCTTTTTTGCAAATGAAACCCATCAATTCTGTCCTAAAAATTCAAAACACAGCGAGAGATGTCTAAATTGTATTGAGTAATGGAGGCCGCCATTTTTTTCTTGGATATTTTCCGTACCGCACCATACAGTTACGGAAATTAAACCATTGTTTATAATGGTCATTATTTACCTATGATTTTGTGATAATTGAGTTAAGTTAATATTTTGTATGAAAGTGATTTGTTTGAAGCAAACTGCGTTGTTCATGTTCAATGCTAGTCAGTTTTGCCTTAACATTTGGTCCTTATAAATTTATAAAGCTATCAACTTATGGTCCAGAATACAAGAAGTATTTTGCTTCTCTCAAAATTAACAAGGAAAGCATGATAAAGTGTTTTCCTTTACCCATCAATTTATTACCTATCTATGTATTTGGTCTGGCTAAAAATCACCAGGTCCAGTAAGATTTGAAATTTTACTGGCCCGAATGTCCTGTGCTTTTTAAAGTTTTTCGTGAAGACTGTATACAGCAATTTTTAACTTAAGTGTTAAGTCAACACAAAAGAAAAGGATAGACCCATCAAGTCAGGCTAAAAATAGCATCTCACCACTGTCGACAGCTTCTATCTCTCTATCAACACTATCTTGCAGCAATAATGGTCCAACAAAGAAGTGAGCAAACTTGTCCAAAGATTTACGAAAGGCATCCTGCTCTACTTCAAAATAGAAGCATGTCTGTAATATAATAGGTAAATCTGAACAAAGATATTTATCACTGAAGTTTCTGTGAAAGTTAAGAAATGATTCTGGCATATCAGACAGGATTATCTACTGTTTACACCAGTGCTACAAAAACCTGTCTTTTTTTAGAAGGGATAATGAAAGGTAGAAAATCTAACACCCTACATACAAAGTTACAGTTCACTGCATATACAGCAGTTTTCAGATAAGAGTATGTAAACGTAACAGTTTAGCTTAAACATATTTATTTTAGCTGGATTGCGAAACAAGGGCTTGCAACTCATTTTAGTCACTTTCAAGTCCACTTAACGGACCTAACCACTACAGGTGCCATATGAGCAATCAAGGTCATGGCGCAAATAGGGCTCCAACACATGATCCCTTAGTTGTAAATTATAGCAATAATAGCAACCTTCTGGATAAGACACGGCTGTATATTTCAGAAGTAAAACTTAAGTATAACATCAAAAGAATAACATACTACCCTTCGGTTAGACTTTGGTGTCTATTCTAGGATATAGCCACAGCAACATTTCTTTCATTCATAATTTCATCTTATTCTTTACTTTATCGCATGGCTGTGAGCTTTTCCTTTGTTCTTTCCAACCCATTATACTCAGTACAGTTCAATGAGCATTTCAAAACTGTATTGATATATAACAGTACAGTTTTTTCATTGATTCATATAGGAAAAAAAACTGTACTGTTATATATCGGTCTAGTTTTTTTCGCACCTTGTATATATCAATACAGTTTTTTCATAGAGGCTCCAATGGGGCAGTGGTAACGACCATTCCCAGTAGCAAAAAAAAACACCATAAGATAATAAAAAATGAAATCAATAAAATAAAATAAAATAAATATATAAATACAATGAAAAATGTAAACAAAGATAGTTAACGAAATGAAAAAAGCCCTTTAATCTTAAATCAATCTTGGTAACAGTATACAATCCGCCTCTTATATTGGATGTCTTTTGTATATTTTTTTTTTGCGGCAGCGAAAACAACTTGAAAAACTGCCTTATGATAAATAACTGTAATGTAGCTAACGATTAATTTATTTATTTGTTTCTATACAAAAAAGAAAACATTATGCCATTGCGATAAAACAGTTATAGTATATGAAACTCGTTAGTTACGGGGGTATAACACTGGCTGGGGCGACATCTCGGGATGTTTCTGCAAAAAAATGTCTCGGCCTAACGGCCTCGCCATTTTTTAGCAGAAACACCCCTTGATGTCGCCCCAGCCAGTGTTATACCCTTATAACTAACTCGTTTCATATACTATAACTATTACTTAAACAATATCTTATTTCAATCACTGTTGGCTGTTCAATTTTACTAATACGTGTATGATACAAGTCCCCCTTATTAGTTCAAATGGATTGTTCGAATTTGTTCCAAATCAAAGCAGGCAAGTTCATTTTATCAATTCAACAGAGTTAGAGGTGAAACAAACATATTTTTCACAGGAAACTTTAATCTTTACACTACAGTGAATGCTTCAGCAAATGTTTACCAAAATTTTCTAAAATATATATCTTCTTCATTCCAATAGACTAAACAAGCATTTACCCTTTCATGATCAGTCCAAGCATTTGTATAACCACCATGTTTTGAGAGATAATCATCAAGGGCATTCTCCTCTGGGTACTTTTCACTTCCCATAAATACCACTGAAATATTGTCATAAACTAATCATTTACTGAAGTTTCTAAATAAAGATTAAGCAGAGATGCTGGGTCATAGGTGCTCATTGAAATTCATTTATATCAACATCCAATAATTTTATGTTTGAAAAGGTAATATTTGTTTTCTATAGTTTATACAGAATTTATGTTAGTTTAATTGTGTTTATAAGCTTATAGACACTCTCTTGAATCACTTCAAGGAACCAACCAGTACTGAGCAATAAAACTAAAGTTTATTGCTCAAGGATACAATGGCTTGATCATAATGGGGTTTGAACCCACACAGATTGAGATCCTTAGATTACTAGTCTGATGTGTTAACCAGAGATAACTTTTGTACTTACTGTGCTCAAGAAAGTGAGCAAATCCAGGGATATTGTCTGGGTCAGAGAAACTCCCCACACCAATGCACAGAGCAGCTGCCGACTAAAATATAAACAAGAGCTGTCAGAAGGACAGCGCGCTCGACTTTTTTAGTGCTTGCCTATAAAACAAAACTTTGACAGTTAAGGGCACACAAGACTTTAACTAGGAATTTCTAAGTACAAATCAAGAAACATTTTCACAGAGTTATCTTCTCTTGCTTACAGATAGGTCTCATGATGGCACATAAGAACTCCAACTTCCAAAGTAATATCTCAAATGGTTAAGTCAACAAGTGGACAAGAATGAAAATTTTAACTGAGTTTCTAAGTCAAAAAGGGCCATAATTCAAATAAAATCCTTAACAGAATTACCTTCTCCTGCCCATGTTTTGGGACCATGATGGTAAACAAGTATTCCAACTTTCAATTTAATATCTCAACCAGTTCAGTCAAAAAGTTGACTGGTACAAAAAAGTTAACCAAGATTCTAAGTCGATAAAAGGCCTTAATTTTTAAAACAAATCCCTGACAGAGTTACCTTCTCTTGCGTACAGATGGGGGTAATGATGTGAAATAGCATTAAAAGTTTCAAAGCAATATCTCAAAGGGTTTAAGGCAATAAGTGGATTTTACCCATATTCAATGTATTTTCTAAGTCAAAAAGGGGCATAATTCTGTCAAAAAACCTTGACAGAGTTATGTCCTCTTGTCTGTTGATGAAGGTCGTGATGGTAAACAAGTATGGTCAGTTTCAAAGCAATACCTCCAATGGTTTTGAAATAAAGTGAGGTGGTACAAAAAACTTAACCAAGCTCAATACACTTTCTAAGTCAAAAAAGGGCCATAATTCTGTCAAAAACCTTGACAGAGTTATGTACTCCTGTCTGTAGATGGAGGTTATGATGGTGAACAAGTATGGTAAGTTTCAAAGCCATACTTGTAATACTTCTGAAATAAAGTGGGGTGGTACGAAAAACTTAACCAAGGTGTGACGCCAACGCCGACGCTAACGCTAACGCCGACGCCGACGCCGGGGCGAGTAGGATAGCTCCCCTTTTCATAGAAAAGTCGAGCTAAAAAGTAATATGTACTGATTTTTTAAATGTGTTATGTCCATTCTCAATTGATGGTAAATAAAGGCAGCACAACAATTTTTCTACAAAAAAAAACATAGTCCTGAAGGTTCAAAATTTTTCTGCATTAAATATATTGAAGGATACTGAAGACACGTTGAGCTCCTGAACTAGAGAATTTCTTCAAAAGGTCAATCAATGAATTTAAATTAGGACTCTGATAGTAAGTTTTCTCATGTTAACTCTGAAGCTTAACCATCCAAAGTGATTAGTCTTTGCGACAAGTGTAGAGCCTTACCAGCCAGCATATCCATGCCGCTTCTGGCCAGGCTCTATCCAGTTGGTTGACTAAATTTTCATCTGTAAATCCCCCAAAATTTATATTGGACAGATCCATAAATGGAAGGTGGACAAGTCCATTTAAGAAATTTTGGATGTAAAGGAATAAAGGAAAGAACATGTCAAAGGGCTAATTTTGTATGGTAGTAAAATACATGTACTACTTAGTTTACATTTTGCAACTATTATGGCAAATAATTTCACATTCAAATGATGTGCATCTAATATGCTCTAAAACTATTGTTTAAACATTCTAAAACTCATGTTTGCAGTTTCAATAGGACAAATTTATTCTATTCTTTTCCAACGTACAATGTGCCTTTTATATTAAAATATAATTCAATTCATTTTTTTAAGGTGTTAATTATTAAATAAAACCTTTTTTTCTTGGCCAAGATCATTTTCTGAATCAGACATGTCATCCACTTCCATATCACTTCCCTCATCTTCTATAAAAAAAAACAACACTCACTTGATAAAAAAAATGATCACAAAAACAAACATACAGTACAACCTCTGCAGGTTGTTACTGAGAGGTGTTACTGTAGAGAAGTTGAAACTATTGTGAAATCTTACGTTGGGAAGAAATCTAACTGTTGTTGTAAAAAGGTTAATCCTCTGCATAGGGTCATTCTTTAGAGGTTCCACTGTATTCTCTTTGTCAACACATGGACTATATATAACTTATATATTTAACACTCACATTTTCTTATACATACGTTTGTGTGTAGTGATGAAATGAAAATTCTTTAACAATGAGAGATAAATTAAGTGAATGACATATATATAAATTTATATGAAACATATTTACCAAAATCTTTAATGAAACAAGTTGTTGCAAGTCAAATTGATCCCTATGACTCTGTTGTAAAGAACTTAAACCAGTACTGGTGCTACAAATCCCTGGGTTGAGAAAAAGACGCTTTAACCACACCCCTAATTAGTACTGACTAAGGGAGATGTTAAAAAATTAAATAAAATATGCAACTTAACACTTAAACTGGTTTTAGTACTTCTAAATCTGATTTTACTTTAATAATAGAAATTTCCATGTAGTTACCAGAATTATCTGACCCTTTACCAGAATTATCTGACCCTGCTGACTCATCGTCTGATTCTGATTGGTTCCCATCGTCAACACTAGACTGGTCCTCACCATCAAGGTCAGAAATCAATAATGCTCGTAAACCATTCTCCAGGAATAATAATCTGCATAAAACATAAAATCAAAACTTTATTAACTTTCAAAATTTTACAAAAATTAGTATGAATCTAGAGGTATGCTGCTTTAAACATCCTGTATATTGTAATTAAGGTTGTTACCACACTTACATGTACCTAATAAGTGAAATTTCATATATATATGTATATAATTATGTTCAAACATCAAAGAATATGTAAAGTATGTGCTGCAAATATTTGTCTACATTATATGTAATAGTTAAAATATATGCATTAATTTCTAATTGAAAAAATTGACTTAGACTTGATGGAAAAAAATCTAATTACCTCCCTTTAATAACATGAAATGTAAATTCGGTCATATACAAATTTAATGCTTTTTGAACTTACAATATTGATAAATCTTCATTTGAGCAAATGTATTCATGATATAAAACCATAAAAAATAGAGTTACAGGATCATCAAGATAAACATCAAGATATTCTTATTATAACTCTATTGTTAAAAATGCTTTGAAGTGTAAAAAATAAGTTACACCAACCTGTACTCCCTCTTGTCATTCAGAGATTTCACAATGTCTGTGGTACATGGACTTGCCATTTCTCTGGAGTAGAACAGTCTTTGATATTTGGATATTCTTATGCCTTCTACTTTTTTGGAAGTTATTCCCTTACTAATGACCTGTGCTATAACTCTAGTTCTGCGTAACAAATGCCCGATAATCATACTCCAAGATACTTCATCTTTGTTGTCTAGCCTTTAAAAATATACATAAAGAAAAAATATTAGTATAAATTTTTCTAAAGAATAATATCCTCATAATATATTGCTTGCATAATCAAATCAATATACTTAAGAAAATAATATATCCAGAACTGTGATTTTATTGCTCAATAACATCACTGTTTGGAGTTCGGATGCGGGGAATTATATCATGAGGGCGTAGCCCGTGTGATATAATGATGCGCATCTAAACTACAAACAGTGATGTTATCACGCAATAAAATCACTGATTTGGATATATTATTTCGATTCTAAACACGACACCAACAAATAAATGCTGCCGTATCTTATAATTAGCTTAATTGCGCCTGATTTTGTTTCCGTACTTATTTTCAGCGCGTCATATTTTTAGCAGTTTACGTTACGTGTATAATGATTACGTCACATGTCTAAATATAGAACGTCAAACAGTGATTTTTATAGCATAATAACACACACTTTCGGTTCTTCTATGTTCAATAGGGAAAAATGCGGGTGGTGTTAGAATATGAATTTTATGATTCCAAACAAGTTTAATATTTTGATTATAATAATTAAGAAATGTTATATCATCAATGACAATCCAATACAAATGTGCCAAAATATTAAATGAAATAATTCTGTTTCATATTCTCTTCATGTCTAATCCATCTTTTTTTAGTGAGTCAGTAATTTTTATTGTTTCCCTTACAAATTATACATTCGTTTAGGAATTGTATCTATTCTTGCATTTCATTTTTAAAGTATGATTTTATTTTCAGTTTAAATCTTCTTGGGTTAACCTATTTCACTGTCAGAGCAACATTATGATTATGAATAATTAGTTATTCTAGCATGTTTTCAAGCACTTACTTTTTTAACAGGCCTTTTCATGCTGCCTTTTTGGGAAAAAGTACCTAGCCCAGATCACATTGATTGGTCACCAACCCCCCCCCCCACCCCCCCCGGCCCTCCCCTTAACCCACTTTACAACCATCCTAATTCTCCAAAACCATGTAAACTGCTGTATTTTTCATTTTGAAATATGTTTTCACATTTGATATATGCTTTTAATTCAATTTCCTACATTCCCCACACAAAAATAAAAAAAATGATACATATATATTGAACTCCTTGCTTGTAGAGTCGAATCTATAGTTTCCGGCCTTCTCTTTACTTACAGTACATTTTTAAGGGGCTCATATTTCACTTGTTTTGGTTTTTGTTTTGTTTTTTGTTTTTTTTGGTTTTTCACATATTTAACCTGAAAAAAAAAGAGGGTTTTTTTTATCAGACAATGTGGTCATATTTTCTTCCCAGGTCCGATATTCAAGCCTGTGAAGAATGCTACAGACAAAAATTAATTTTGGTGATCATATATGAATTATTTCATTGGAAATGATGTTCAAAGGTATTTCTACCTTTAGCTCTAGAGACCCCTAAGAGGGGCCAATCAAATTAATATGAGCAAACTTGATAAAAGACTACCAAAGAATGGCACAGACAAAGTTTGGTGATCATCCATCTATTAGTTCTATAGTACTGTAGAAGATGTTTAAAGGTTTTTTCTATTTTTAGATCTGTTGACCCCAAAAAGGGGCCAATTGAAATGAGTAAATTTAAGTGTGACTGTCAAAAGGCTGCTATAGACCAAATTTTAAGTATTAAAGCTGCCAGCAGTTTCAGGGAAGAAGACGATTGTTGACGCATGACGACGGACACCGGAGTATCTCCCTTTGATAATTATAGCTCACCCTGAACCTTTGGTTTTGGTGAGCTAATGAAAGGTGTGGGAACACATTGTGTTTCGCGAGGGTACAGAATTAAACAAAGCAACATGTAAGATAGTGTCATGTCCAAAGTTAGTAATAACAAGTAACTTCATGTAACCATGGCTTCAGTTACAACCTGTGGTGCAACACACAAAAAGAAAGAAGTATACTGATGTTGATGTGTTTAAAAAGCCTTGTTTGAGTTTGAGAAAAAGTCAGATTTATAAGATTACTAGTCACATTATTGTGATAGTTTATTTGATTAGAATTGTTTTCTAAATAATTTTAAATAAATCATTGTTAGTTTCATGAACACTTCTACAAATAACAAGAAATGTCGAACAACACAATTATGAACCCCTTTCTATGTGAACAAGTTTCAACCGAATTTCATAACGTTTTAAAAAAGTCAATTTTTTTACCAACGCTTCAATTTCCTGAAATTATGATATTTTAGGGACTTTTTTAAACGTTGTTAAAATAGCAGAAAACAAGTTTTATGTTCAAGACATGTGACCAGGTCGTAATAATATGCAAAAATATTTGGACGTACGGTTTGCACGATAAAAATACACAACGTGTATACAAGTGCGGATCAAGGAGGGGAGCCACGCACATAACCCCAAGTGTCTGTGTCTTGCTAGGCCTACCGTTATAACACTATCAATTGATCGCGAAATCGTATGACATTCAAAATTATCAGGGTATTTTAACTGAATCTAAGTAGGATAATTTCTACTTGAATCTAAACTGGGTCATTTTAGTACGCTTAATAATTGCACGTTATGTCATGGATAAATATACAAGAAAATTGTGCTTACAACCCAAAATATGAGTATGGTCTGCAATTTGTCCAAGATATGAAATCCTATCTGTAGGAAAATCGAATTACGGACATTTCGGACCACGGACGTTTCGGACCAGACACTTCGGACCAGATTTTTTGGTCATTTCGGACCAGATTTTGGGACATTTCGGACCATGTGATGGTCATTTCGGACCATGATGGAGACACTTCGGACCAGCACATATATTCCTTTTTATATGTAATTATTTCTTATTTCAGGATGTATTTAAATATATTTTCTAATAATAAATGCAACAAATATTTGACATTGTTATTTTTTATGATATTCAAAATGCATGCAGTAATGACCTGTCCGACGAGATTTTCACAATGCAGTTTTTCACACGTTTTAATTGCTGTATAGAACTCGTTTAAGTTACGTTTCACTCAATTAAAGAAGTATATGTATGCAATTTTCACCTAATTTGACAACAAATATTTAAATTGATTGGATTTGATTGGAATGCGATTAAAGTACAGTTTTAATTAACAATAAACAAACTGATTATAATTGATGTCCAGACTGCAATATTTTTTTTTTCCAATTTCAAATTTTATTGCCTGAAACATTATACAATGTGTATAGCATATAAACAACATAAACATATATACATGTTCAATGGATAAGACATGAGGTAAACAATTAACAAGAGCTTAACAAACATACAAAGAGAAGAAGTTCAATACAATATTATCAAAATATGATACCTTAAACAATGCGAATTTTATTTGCAGAAAAAATGAATTTTGCTAGGTTATATAAAGTATTTTTTGATGATGAACACATGATATTTTCAAATTTGTTTAAAGAAGGCCAGTGACAATAATAACTTTTAAAAAATTTACTTCTAATGGTTCTATATTTTGGACAAACTAGTAAAAAGTGGTATTCTGTTTCAATAGATTGCATGTTACAAGACTTACAGAGACGCTCATTTTGGGGTATGTTAGTGTATCTTCCCGTTTCTATGGCTAATTGGTGTGCTGAGACTCTGAATTTAGCTAAAGCTGTTTTTAAGTAATTTTCTTTAATAGTATCTAGATATTTTTCTCTTTTGAATTCATGTTTAAAAATTGCATATGTTTTTAATTTGCTCGAGTTGTTTATTTCAGAATACCATTTTTGGTAATAGTTATCAAATATTCTTTGTTTTATCAATTGGAGTGTTGTGTTATCAAGTTTTTGTGACAGCCAAACGTATCCAAAACCATGTTCATTCAAAATTTGTTTTATTTGAGATACCCAATTTCTGTTTTTATATGTTAAATTATTTTGATCATCTAGTTTCAAATTATTATATACTTTCTTTACGATACTATCATTGTCTAGAGTTATTAGCTTATTCCAATACTTAATCATATTATATTTTCGCATAATAAAAATATAAAAATAACATATATAAAAATGTACTTTTGTATATACTTTATAATAAATTTGTTTGCAAACGTGTCATTAAAACGTTGTTTGTTTGTTTTTTGTTTTTTTTTAATTTTCTTCATTTATAGTGCAAAATATATTAAATCTAAATCGGGATAGGTGTAAAATCGTTCTATGGTGTCTCATATATTCTAAAGTTACACTTTAGTTTATAGAATAATTGATGCATAACATATAAAAAATATTTATTCTGGTCCGAAACGTCCAAAATAATGGTCCGAAGTGTCTAACACATGATCCCAAATGTCCAACACATGGTCCGAAATGTCCAAAACAATGGTCCGAAGTGTCTAACGCATGATCCGAAATGTCCAACACATGGTCCGAAATGTCCAAAAATCTGGTCCGAAATGTCCCTAAATCTGGTCCGAAGTGTCCCAAAATCTGGTCCGAAATGTCTGGTCCGAAACGTCCATGGTCCGAAACGTCCTATTACCGGAAAATCTTGGTTCAAGGATCACCGAATTCATTGAAATGCATCTGCATCTGCTTCCACTTCCGGTTTGACCGAAAGTAGAGTTTCGGAAAATTGGCGATTTTATGGTATTTATGGATTCGTTTATGATGTAATTTTAAGCTCGACTATTCGATAAGAATAAGTAGAGCTATTCACAGGTGCTCGTCCAGTCTTGGTGCCCATATAAAAAACTGAAGTTGAAAAAAACAACAAAAAACATTTTTTTTTTTGTTTTTTGTTGTTTTTTTCAACTTCAATTTTTTTTGATAAAAAAACAAACAAACAAAATAAACCAACTAGATTCGGGGTTGAGTGTTATTATTAAGATTGTTGTTCCACAGCGTGTGCTAGTAAAGCACAATAGCGTTACGGCGACTAGGTGACCTTTTCGTAGTATTAAAATTTAAATGGAAAAAAAAAAATGTTTCGACTATTTGATAAGAATAAGTAGAGCTATTGTAGTCACCCAAGCGTCGGCGTCCGCCTCACCGTAACCACTTGTGTTAAAGTTTTTGTAATACCTCAAATATTTTGCACACTTGTTCACCATCATGATCCCAACCTGTAGACATGGGGAGGTAACTGTATCAAGCATTTTGACAGAATTATGCTTCTTTTTCGACTTCGAATTTACGTTAAATTTTTTGTAATACCTCAAATATTTTCTAAGTCCATTGACATATGGCTTTGAAACTTTGCACACTTGTTCACCATCATGACCCCAACCTGTAGACAGGGGAGGTAACTGTATCAAGCATTTTAACATAATTATGCTCCTTTTTTGACATAGAATTTACGTTAAAGTGTTTTTAATACCTCAAATATTTTCAAAGTCCATTGACATATGGCTTTGAAACTTTGCACACTTGTTCACCATCATGACCTTAACCTGTAGACAGGGGGAGGTAACTGAATAAAGCATTTTGACAGAATTTTGCCCCTTTTTCGACTTAGAATTTACATTAAAGTTTTTGTAATCCCTTAAATATTTTCAAAGTCTTTTTACATATGGCTTTGAAAATTTGCACACTTGTTCACCATCATGACCCTATTCTGTAGACAGCTTCCTATCAAGCATTTGGCAGAATAATGCCCCTTTTTCAACTTAGAACTTGCATTTACAATGTAAGTTTGCATACCACCTCAGATATTTTCATATTCTATTGACATCATACATGTGAACTTTTTTTGATGATCAAGTGGGAGTTTTTCTTCAAAAAGAGGGAGATTTCAGAATTTGCAATTAACAAAGAAGAAAGTTCTGACATCGAAAATAGGGAGATTTCTTTAATTTACATTAAAGATTTACATTACTGTTCATTTTATGGGAAAAAAAGCGCAATATGTCATAAAAATTTCAGAAACGGCTGATTATAATTTCTGACCTGTGAAAAATCTGCTTCAAGTCGGTACATTAACCCGGTTAACATTTGCATGTTGTTAACCATTTAACTATTTCTGTGTTATTGCAATTGGTGTTAATCAAGTTTTACAGGAAGGTAAACAGTGCATTTTGAAAACAAAGACCCTATTTTTGTGAAATCCCTTTTGAAATTGTGAATTTTTTTCTGCCACATTGTGAAAAAAAAGTGTAATTTTGAATTGTGAAGGGGCCTTATATCCGCCCCTGTTATAGAAGGAAAAAAGCCCTGATTTGTGAAAATACCCCTAATTTTAAGAAAAAATCTTTTAAAATATGGGTGCAGAAAGTGGGAGAGTTCACATGTATGTGACATATGGCTTAGAAACCAGTTGAAATTTTATACTCTTCTTTGAGAGCATAATAGGACTTTCTGCATGGCCTATAATTAAAGAAAATTTTTGCCCTTTTGTTAACTTAGCAAATTTTACATTTTCAAGGCTCTTTTACTATCAAGCACTAAGAATAGTCGAGCGTTGCTGTCCTATCGACAGCTCTTGTTACACTTTAATTAAGTTACCATACCTATCTTTATTGAATTATATGGATAATTTAGTGTTAAAATTTTTGGCATAGTCTTACTAAGACGCCCCCCTCCAACTTGGCCAAGTCGAACTTAAATTTCATTTTTTAAATTTTATCCATAATTTGATACAGAAGTAAAAGTAATTATGAACCCGCGTTGTCTAGGACTAGTAATAGAAATTATCAACATTTTCGGTATTTAAATGTTGTCTTTTTATAATTAATATGAAGTTATATAAAGCCTATTAAAAAAGCGAACATTTTTCCGTTTTAAAGACCTAGTGTCTTCAGAATTTCATGCACCGTGGGGGCAGCAGGAAATACCCAAATACACCCAAATATTCCCAGATATATCCAAATATTGCCTAATCTTACTAAAAATAAATGTTTTTGTTATGAATACAAGTTACACTTCCACTAAGATAATTTAATTTTATAAATATTTATTCATTTTCTCATTATAATCTATATTTTATACAAACAAAAATGAATATTGCTATATTTGGGTATTTCGTGTCGCTGTGCACTGCTTCAGTTTTCACCCAGAACACTCAATGATTAATATGTATTTAGGCAAAGCCTATGAATGGGGATCGATGTCGTTCATTTTTTACTTTACATTTTCTGTTTTATAGGTGGCATTCTGTATTTCATACTGCGCTTCAATTTTCACTTGGAATACCTCGACAATTATTGTTAAGCCGAAAAGTCGCAATTGTTCCGTTATCGGAATACTCCGCATATGATCATTGAATTACATTGAAAATGGAGTCGCCACAATTAGAATTGACACTGAAAAATTCACTGATTGTATAGAAATCTGTATATTGTTATTTTTATGCCCCCACAAAGTGGGGAGCATATAGCGTTGCACTCGGCCGTCCGTCTGTCCATCCGTCCGAGCAAACATTTTGGGTTTAGGGGCTATATAACAGTAAAGAGAACAAAAGAGAACAATAGGTACATTCCGTGATCAAAGGGTTAAGGGGCTAGTAGCCCTTAAGAAAACAAAGAAAATAACAAAGAAAACAGCCCCTAAAGCCAAAATGTTGGAACGTCCGTCCGTCCGTCCGAGCAAACATTTTGGGTTTAGGGGCTATATAACAGTAAAGAGAACAAAAGAGAACAATAGGTTTAATCCGTGATCAAAGGGTTTAGGGGCTAGTAGCCCTTAAGAAAACAAAGAAAATAACAAAGAAAAAAGCCCCTTAAGCCAAAATGTCGGAACGTCTGTCCATACGTCCATCCGTCTGTACTTCCCGAAATCTTGTGAACGCAACTCCTCTTCAACCGGATGGCAGATTTTGCTTAAACTTCCAGGGATGAACAACCTTATAAATGTGTAGATGGCAGTAAAGGAAGGAATTTTTGCTGCGACCAAATTTAACAGAATTATGGCCCTTTGTTGATTTTTTTTACTGTATTCTATGTAGAAATTCTGTGAACGCAACTCCTCTTCAACCGGATGGCAGATTTTGCTTAAACTTCCAGGGATGTACAGCCTTAATGTGTAGATGTTAGTAAAGGAAGGAATTTTTGCTGCGACCAAATTTAACAGAATTATGACCCTTTGTTGATTTTTCCACTATATACCATATAGAAATTTTGTGAACGCAACTCCTCTTAAACCGGATGGCAGAGTTTGTTTAAACTTCCAGGGATGAACAACGTTAATGTGTAGATGGAAGTAAAGGAAGGAATTTTGCTGCGACCAAATTTAACAGAATTATGGCCCTTTGTTGATTTTTCACTATATACCATAATTTATATATGTTGTCAGTGGGGGCATCCGTGTCCTTTGGACACAGTTCTAGTTCATTTTGTGTTTTAAATGTGTCATTAGGTTTTTATGCACTGTCTGCTTCCGTTTAATCATATTCCCTGTCCTACTATTGTCTTATAGAAGTGCGCAGGGGAACAAGTCTATGCATCCTTTTTCAATCAGAATCCTTTGGCTTTTATTGTTACCTTCATAAGTCAAAAAGTTGCACTTGTTCCATTATCGAAATACCCTGCCCTTTATCATTGTGTTACGGCGCCCAACATTAGAAATGATACTGAAAATTTCACTGATAGGTATAGAATTCTATATATTTTTAATATTTTGTAAAAATTTTATTTCCTTTTAAATATACACGTGTTGTATATAGCCAGGCAAGCCCCGTACTAATATGAAATTAGGCAAAGCCTATGAACAGTGAAGTTGGTTAAAACAATTGAAAAAGGCGACATATAGGGGTTACTTTTGTCGGCGGTGTCGGCCTCGGTGTCGGCCACCATTTAAGCATGTCCTTCAGCCTTGGTATGCATGCTTCTTATAATGACCCAAAGTGCAGTGCACAAGAACTGTTACTTTACACTTCTTAATTTTCTAGTTATTGCCCCTTTGTTAATTTTCATACTTTATTTTTGTCCGGGCCATTTCTCCTAATGTATAAAAGCTATGGACTTGAAACTTCATAAGATAATAGATCTCATTAAGAAGAAGTGCAGACTGCACAAGAATTGGTGCTCTGCACTTTTTATTTTTTGAGTTATTGCCCTTTGTTAATTTTCATACTTTATTTTTGTCCAGGCCATTTCCCCTAAAGTATAAAAGCTATGGACTTGAAGCTTCATAGGATGATAGATCTCATTAAGTAGAAGTGCAGTGCACAAGAACCAGTATTCTGCATTTCTTTTTTTTTGAGTTATTGCCCTTTGTTAATTTTCATACTTTATTTTTGTCCAGGCCATTTCTCCTAAAGTATAAAAGCTATTGACATGAAATTTCATAGGATGATAGATCTCATTAAGAAGAAGTGCATTGCTCAAGAACTGGTACTCTGCATTTTTTATTTTTTGAGTTATTGCCCTTTGTTAATTTTCATACTTTATTTTTGTCCAGGCCATTTCTCATAAATTATGAAAGCTATAGACTTGAAACTTCATAGGCTGATAGATGTTATAGATAAGAAGTGGCATGCACAGAAACTGCTGCTCTGCATTTCTTATTTTTTGAGTTATTGCCCCAACTAGAACAGTGAAATTTTCATTGAAAGGTATAGAATTCTATATATTCTTTTTATTGCTTTTTATTTGATTTCCTTTTAAATATACAGATGTAGTCTTTGACTTCCTTGTTTAACAGACCATCCAAGAGCCACCAATGGTAGCTGGTAACTTGGGGCTGAATTGACTGTAATTCTCACAATGCAGAATGCTTTATCGTTGTCAAGCAATGGTCATGCCATGCCAACAGTTTTGTTTTTGTTTTTTTCAGAAGTAAAGACTTAAACTTGAATACTTACAAATTATAAATTGCATGCATTTGTGAACACTGAAACTAACACAAACCTAACTGAGAGAGTCTTAAGCTTTTGATAAATTATACATAAAATAAATTATAATAAATTTATAAAACAAATTAAAAGGACTCCACTGAGGTTTTTGACAGGATGGCATAGGAAATGATTTTTAAGCCATTGTTTACAATTTGATGTGATCTGGATGTGCATGCAAATGTCAGATTATTCCTTCACTCTGTTTCATTTAAATTTTTAATTCTTAAAAATGGTAAACAAAAAAATGGAAATGAAAATTGTTTAAATGCTTTCAAATTAAATCACACTAAGAGCCACATAATATGTTTTTGCTTTTTTTTTCAGGTGATGTAAAAAAATTAATATTTGTCAGCATGGACGGAAACCATTCAGTGATAAAAATCATTGTGTAAAATTCACAACATTATGTGTTTTGCTCTGTTTTTTTCAGGTGATGTAAAAAGAATTTAATATTTGTCAGTATGGATGGGAATCGTTCAGTGATAGAAATCCTAGATTCCCCTGAAGTAACAGGCACAAAGGTATTTTTATCATAATTACTTGTGCAACTTTTTAAAAACCTTACATATTGACAGTTATGGGAGTACCATTTTCCTGTTTTGTAAAAGTCTGTAAAGTAAAATCATTTTCATGAATTTGAATTTCACCAAAGAATTTGAATTCATTGTTGTAAGGAAGCTGTCCTCGTAGATTTTGGAAAGTTGGTGACCATTCAAGTGCCTGTCATACTTACAATAATACATATAAGTAGACCTCAGAGCTTCCTCCACTAGTAATGCTGATAAGCCCCCATATGATCTTTGCAGTGTTAGTATTAATACTTGTACTGAAATTGCATGACATACATGTACTACTTCATTGTTTAAGTTTGACCTAAAACTCAGTGATGAGGACGACATAAAGAAAATGTCTGTTATTGGTAAATAAAAGATTAATGCATACCATGCCCAAAGAACTGTTTATGGTCTGTTTGTCACAAATATTTGTTCTTGACACCAACTCAGTCAAAGTCCTTTAATCTCCAGCCTCTAAACTTCACAGGTGCATGCACCTTAAGTTATACCTCAGTACTAGTCTTCTTTCAGGTCAAAGGTTAAGGTCACCAACCAGGGGTGGCATGCATTCATTTGAACTTAGTGCTTGTTTCAACCTGCAGAGTTTGATGGTTCTAGAACTAGATAGTTTCTACACAGATGGGAGCCTATGCTTGAAATAATGCATAAAAGCAGCAAAAGGGTTCATGTTGTCTTATATAAATAGTAACAAAAAGATTTAAGATGAATGATATTTTGTGACTAAGTTTTCTGATTGTTTGCTTATATTTCCATGATGTAATTGGTGGTTATTATTGAGAAAATGTGTAATTTATATTCAATACTTTTTGATATAGAGAAAACGTGATCATGGTGACAGTTCAGAAAATGACTATAATGTCGGAGCAGCGCCAAAACATCCTCTTTTAGACTCAATCACCAGCAGATTTGAACAGAATAGAGCAGATAGAGAAGAAAAGGTCAGTAAGAATACAACATGTTATTTACTATACTTTAAAACCTGAATGCAGCCAGCCGCTGAAGGAAATTTTCAATTCATTATACCGGTACTGTTAAGGTTAATTCATGTGTTCCTGTATGTAAATATAATAAATACTTTGTAAAATGGTAAATTTTTCAGCGTGGAAATATTTGTATTTTTGCGAATCAAAAAGTCGCAAATAATTGAGCCGTAAAAGTTACATAAACTTTGGTAAAGTCTTCAGTGGCCATTCATCATTTTACCATTACACCGGTTATTGTGTAGATAGATCCCATTAAAATTTACATCTCACTGAATACAAACAAACATATAACATGATTTAATGTTCATTTAATATTTCACAACATGAAATTATAACGAAAAAATTCTCAATAAGTTTAACTGTTATCAGACTAAACATTTACATTATATTTCTTTGAATACATGGAAAAAAGCTGGCTGGTCACACCTGTTAAAAGTATGAATAACACATGCCAATGGCATCACCTATAACAAAAGACTTAACTTTCATACAGGCAATTGTGTGACAATCAATGACTATTAAAACAATTTAGAATCTTGGTTGAATACAATTTCTGTACTGGTTACATGAAATAGTGGTGTTAAATTATCTAATTGTTATCATAAGCCTGCTTATATGATGGGAGTTCCGGAAATAGTACTTTTAAAAATATTTCTGCACCCAAAATGTCTGTATTTAGACATTTACAACTTCTTATGACGTAAAAATATTCAGAAGTCAACATATTTATCACTTTTTTTTCCATTTGACCCTTTGAAATTGAAGTTTGAGTATAGATCTGCAAATTACAAAACTGTCCGACTGATAAGTAAAAGTTTGACTGTACAAATATATCATAAAGTGATGATGTTTTTATTGCAGAATGCCTTGCTGAGATCTAAACGTGAGATTGAAAAAGTCCATTCCAATTATCTGAAACAAAATCTAGATCATCAAGAGTTAGCTAGAGCAAATTATGCTGCCAGTTACTGGGCTAAGAAAAATGGTAAGTTCATAAAAGTTGTCAAATTAAAATAACTTAAAAATGAATTTTATGAACAAATATTATACTGAATGCCACTAAAATGTAATTGAATAAAGCCCATTTATACCAATATAGACCGGTAATTAGTAAATTAGAGCTTTGTGTTTGATTTTTACAAATTTTGTCCATCAAAAGTACATTTATGTAGAGCAAGTAAATTTGGAGTTTTATGTTTATAGATATTGAAGTATACATCTCTTGTTTTTTCTTCAGGTATAAAAGATACAGCATCAACACTATCAACTGTGCCTAGTCAAAGTGGTAGGCCACCTGGTAATGAAGCAAAGAAAAGGCAAAAGAAGAAGAAGAAAGCATCAAGTACCAACACTGATGCATCAGCTAATAGTCGATCATGGCTTGATACTAGTGATAATGACTTTTCTCCCCCAGAAAATGTATCTTTGTTAAGCTTGAGAAACAAAGCTGGAGAGACTGCGCAAGTTCTTGGTTCAGCTGCAAGTGCATCATCTGAGGGGAAATATATTTGTCCTGTTTTGTTCTGTGATGCTGAATTCTCATCCGAAGGATCTCTAGGACAGCATATGAATCTGTTTAAACATTCCCCTTGCAACCCTTTACGGTTAGCTGAAGACACAAAGCTGCTACCAGATCCAGTTTGCTTCAAATGTCCCGATTGTGACTTAGAATTTGAAAGCAAAGATTTGTGTAGGGAACATATGGACAGAGAAAATCACTTGGTGTTTTATCCCCCACTCGCTATAACAGCTTATCAATGTCCAGATTGCCTTTATTTGTTCAAGAACCTACAGTCATGTTTAAGTCACATGGAAAGTTCAAGGCATTACAGTTTCAAGTTCCCATTCAAAGGTAAGTGCTATTGCATAATTTTTGGCTTTTTTGAGTACATATTGCATAAATCTAAAGATATAAGAAACCATTTGGCACAGAGTTGAAATATTAAGTTTGTTTACATATGTACAAAGTTTATTCATATTTAGCTCGGCACCTGTAGGGAGTACAAGGTTAGGTAAGCACATATGTGTTCAAATATGAGCTTGGATAATAGTCTGTCTGCTATTGTACATCAATATCTATATTTACATGTAGTTTACAGAAGGCTGATGGTTCTATATTTACCACGCTGCCCACTCATGCCTGCTGCTTTAAAGCAAAATTCTTCATTCATAAGTAAATCTGAACTGTTACTTAATGACCATTATGTCTTAAACACACAATGAAAAAGTGTATGAAGGTTTAGAAAATATCTCCAAAACCTCCAGTGGATTTTGGCCAAACTGCAAAGGAATTTTCATTTGGTAGTCTTACACTGCCTTGATCAGTGTTTTTTTAGCTCACCTGTCACAAAGTGACAGGGTGAGCTTTTGTAATCGCTTTTCGTCCGGCGTCCGTCCGTAAACTTTTTCTTTAAATGACATCTCCTCATAAACCACTAAGCCAATTTCATCCAAACTTCACAGGAATGTTCCTTTGGTGGTCACCTTTAAAAATTGTTCAAAGAATTTAATTCCATGCAGAACTCTGGTTGCCATGGCAACCAAAAGAAAAAACTTTAAATATCTTCTTTTAAAAAACCCAAAGAGCTAGAGCTTAGATATTTGGCATGAAACAACTTCTAGTGAGTGTCTACCAAGTTTGTTCAAATAAAAGCCCTGGGGTCAAAAGTGGCCCCGCCCCAGGGGGTCATTGATTTTCCCTATATGCATATAGTAAAACTTAAAAAATCTTCTTTTAAAGAACCCATAGAGCTAGAGCTAAGATATTTAGCATGAAACATCTTCTAATGGGTGTCTACAAAGTTTGTTCAAATAAAAGCTCTGGGGTCAAAATTGGCCCCGCCCCGGGGGTCATTGATTTTCCTTATATGTGTATAGCAAAAACTTAAAAAATCTTCTTTGAAAAAACCCAAATAGCTAGAGTTTAGATATTAAGCATGAAACATCTTCTAGTGAGTGTCTACCAAGTTTGTTCAAATAAAAGCCCTGGGGTCAAAATTGGCCCCACCCCAGGGGGTCATTGATTTTCCCTATATGCATATAGTAAAAACTTAAAAAATCTTCTTTGAAAAAACCCAAATAGCTAGAGTTTAGATATTAAGAATGAAACATCTTGTAGTAAGTGTCTACAAAGTTTGTTCAAATAAAAGCCCTGGGGTTAAAACTGGCCCCGCCCCAGAGGTGTCATTGTTTTTAACTATATGTGTATAGTAAAAACTTAAAAAATCTTCTTTTAAAAAACCCAATGAGCTAGAGGTTAGATTTTAAACAGGAAACATCTTTTTGTTGGAGTCTACCAAGTTTGTCCAAATAAAAGCCCTTGGGTTTAAATTGGCCCTGCCAAAGGGAGGGGGGCGGAGGTCATTGTTTTTCATTATATGTGTGTAGTAAAAACTTAACATCATGAAACATCTTCTAATGGGTGATGGGTGTCTTCCAAATTTGCTCAAATAAAAGCCCTGGGGTTTAAACTGGCCCCGCTCTGGGGGCCTATATACAGGTGAGCGACCTCAGGGGCATCATGGCCCTCTTGTTTCTCACATTTTTGGGAAAGTTGCAAGCAGGGTCCATCAGCGTGAGAAAAATTTTCATTTGTCATTTTCAGCATTTTAGAGGGGGGGGAAAAATCAGCAAGCTTTCGGACAATCTTTGCTAATCAATTTGATTTTCAAAGTGATGAAAATTAGTGTAACCCTGCACATATATATACAGCTATCCTTATATAATCACTCATAAACATTTAAAGGTTTTCTTTATTTTATAAAAGTTTTAGGATGAAAAATTGTTTTATAATTGGGACTGAATATATACTTTTGATGGTGGGGAATAAGGCCCAATATCAGCATCAAAGTGACACTAAAAATCAGTGTATAATGGTTTACATAATCATAATGGCATTAGTAGGTGACAGGAGCTGAAAGATGAGTTTTATCGGAAACTATCAGGTCCTAAGCTTAGATATTAGCTTTATCATTGCCCTTGGGTAAGAAAATTAGTTATTTAAATTATTTGCAAAGACTCAAAGAAAAAAGATTTTGTAAAATCAAATTAATGCACAGTGCATGGCTTAAAACCAAAATTTTCTTTTGTTGTTACATGTAACCTGTGGAAAAAAATTTAGTAAATCTTTTTTTTTACTGCAGATGATGTAACAGATGGTGATTTTAATCTACCAGTGGCATTAGCAGAGGAATTTGTTCAAGATTACATCAAAGAGTGTGAAAAGATACCATTCCAAGTGCAGTGCTTAGAGTGTAGCATGTTCATTTTGTCGCCAGCTGATTTAAAGCAACACCCAAATTTCCATAGAGTATGTGTGCTCACTGATAACGATTTGGTAAGAACATTTTTAGCTTGACTATTATGTTTAGTCAGATGTCATGGTTGCCATAAGCATCAGATATTTTTTACCTTCCCATTTAAGAGATATGCCCTTGCTAATTTATTGTAGGGTACTGAAAATAGATCTCTCCTGAACGCTTACCTATTTGAAGACATATATTCTTGAGCTGTACTAAATACTGACCTATACCTTAGTGTCTGCTTAACACTTGATAAAAGCTTTTATGTTGGGGATTATGGAAAGGTATTCAATTCAACTTCTATTCATACGTTTTCCACCCAAAAATCTAACATGGATTTTAAATAAAATATTAATTCTTAAAAATTCAATCTTAAAGTGACATGCTTATTTTTATGCTCCCACAAAGCGGGGGGCATATAGCGTTGCACTTGTCTGTCCGTACGTCCTGAAATCTTGTGAAAGCAACTCCTCTTCAACCGGATGGCAGATTTTGCTTAAACTTCCAGGGATGGACAACCTTAATGTGTAGATGGTAGTAAAGGAAGGAATTTTCGCTGCGACCAAATTTAACAGAATTATGGCCCTTTGTTGATTTTTTCACTATATACTATGTAGAAATTTTGTGAAAGCAACTCCTCTTAAACCAGATGGCAGATTTTGTTTTCAGTGCGGGCATCCATGTCCTTTGGACACAGTTCTAGTTTTCGTTGTAAACAGAGATAAAAAATTGTGCTGGCTAACAGAGATAAAAAATTGTGCTGGTCCGCTCATAATTAAGAAAACTCATTGCAGGATGAGTAGCAAAATGTTGCCTGCACATTGGATTTAAAAGCTACTTGTCCTGAAGGACCAGTGACTATGAAAATATTTTTCGATGCCTGTATAAAGTTGAGCAGAATAGGCTAAATATTTAAAAAGATTAAGTATTATAATGTTATTATTACTTTGGTAATTGACCAACAAATTGATAATGAAAAAATATTGAGGATTAAATAAAACAGATGCCTTAAATATCAAAAAGACTGTCCTTTATATCAATTGAATGTTTACAATTCATTCCAATATATATTATCATATATAGAACTTTTCTGCTAGTAACATGAGTTTATTGATTATACACATGAAAAGACTAAAATTTGAATGAAACTGCGGCAAAGTCTAAAACCAATTTTGACTTTGACCAGTACTCCCATCGTTTATACTTGGTGGCATAAATGTCACTTTAAGTTTCAATATCAAGTGATGTGGATATCAATTTAAGAAATTAATGCTATGCTTATGTTACGTCATTTTATAAGATATCAACACAAATAATCTAATAATATTATTTCAGAATGTTCAAAGACAATTTGTGAAAAATGAAACAATAATGGTCCTTGAAAAAATTGTAATTATGTCCAATTCCTTATTCATTATAATCCTTGTCAATTCATTTGTTCAGCGTAGTAAATTAAATAAAATAGAAATATTTTAGTGGAGGAAAGGTTTTAATCAACTTTATCGGCAGTCTGAAATGAATTTTTTCCATAAGTATTTACTTTGTAAAGGAATTGATCATTGATATTTTGTAATTTTCAGGTGATTATTTTTTCTACATACACTAAATTCTTTTCTTGTACAGATGTCTCGTTTTTTTGAAAAACACCCGCAAAGGGGTTTCCCAAAACATTTTGTGCTGGGGGGATTTTGGGTAATATTTAAACCCAAACCCTTTTTAACCACCACAGTAATTTTTTACTCGCCCCTGTCTTTACCTTCAGTAAAAAAGGGAAAAAAGGGACATAATGGCTTAAAAGCAAATTTTTAAAGTTTAAACAAAAAAATAAAACCCTGATTTCCCTAACAAAAATTTAAAAAGGGCACGCTTTTAGAACTAAGATATTATTTGAAATTTAAAAGATGAAGAGGTTTTTTTGGGCCCAAAAACCAAGCCCGAGAGAGACAAATAGTAAAAATAAATGAATAAGGGGCAAATATAAATCTCAAACCCCCCAAATGGTTTTAAAAAAAGTCCAAAAAAAAAATTGGGTTTTATAGCCCTGGAATCCAAGTAGAAATTTTAGTAAAGTGAAAATTTAAAAGCCCTTTGAAAGGTAGCTATCGATGATAGTCTAGACAAGTATAAGTTGTTCTTTACATGACCCTTGATATTGATTCTGAATTATCTGTAGTTTGATAAATTAAACAGAACAGTGTTGATTATAAAGAAATTTAGGGCAAAAAGAAATCTGCCCATGAAAAATAAAAAAAAGAAAATTAAAAAAATTACCTTGTGCCAGCTCTAAAAAAGGGTACCACTGCCCACCAATTTTTGGGGGAAAAATTAAAACAAGAATTCATGAAAACTATAAACCTGTGTCAATGTTAAGAAAAGAGAGACCACAAACCAATGCATTCATTAAATTTTTTTAAACTAGAAGTTCAAAAAACAATACCTGTGCACTGTAAAAAAAAAGAAGGGACAACTGAAACCAGTAAATCAAAAGTTAAAGAAACAGGACCCAGATGTCACTTTAAGAATGAGGGTGCCACAGAAACCTTGCACTTGAAAGAGTAAAACAAGAAGTTAAAGGAGCACAACAGTTTAATATTATGGAAGAAATACCATCAACAAGCACTGGTATAGTTTCTGGGACACAAGAATTTTGGAACCTCCTTAACGACTTCTGATTCAGACCTTGAGTTTATAGAAATCAGTGATCCTGATGATCAGTGTAGATAGAATTCTTATTAGTGATAGTGATTTCAGTGGTCGAAGATGATCAGAAAAAATACCAAACCACAGTCTGGGTATGTTATAATCATCATCGAAGAAAAAAAAAAAAAAGAAGAGAAAACAAGGCAAAAAAATGACAAAAAAAAACAGAGGAGACTTGCGGAAAGAAGAAGCAAAAGTATCAGCATGTGAAAAACTTTTGAAATTCTTAAATAAAGAGGAGGAAAAAAAAAATGGAGACCCTGAGTGCAGAAGAATGCCAACGAGGCAAGCAAAAAGCTGCAGCTAATAAATATGCTAGAGAGGAAAAAAGAAAAGGGCACTTGTATGTTAGAAACAGCAACAAATAAAAAAGCAGAGGAGAGAACAGCAACAAAAAAAAAATCGCAAGAGAAATAGAAGCTAAGAGAGAACAGCAACGAATAATAAATGCAGAGAGAATAGAAGCCAAGAAGAACAGCAAAGAAAAAAAATGCAGAGAGAAAGAAGCCTGCTAGACAGGAAGAAATAGAAAAGAGGGCTGCTTTGAAAGAGCTCTGCGTTAAGGGATGACAGTATTCTTAAAAGTTATAAAAGTTGGTGCACATGTTTCAAATGTGCTTTTAAAGGAACCTGTCAGTGGGCCAATTCTCCAAAAAGCAGTAATAGAGCATGATTTTTTTAATTTTATATTACATTCCTTTTAGAAAATTGTTTGTATGATTTTATATGGAAAATAATAGCAGATACCAAGGTTGAGTGATAGTATCAAGAAGATTTACTACCCTAGAGTATAAAACTGTACCTGGTATGAATTAGAAGTTTTTGTGAGATTTTTTGTAAAATGTAAAGAAAAGATCTAGGAAACTTGTAAAAAATAAATTTTATTCCTATTTCAAAAAAAATAAAGTAACTAAATATACAATAATCAACTTTAGAAAAATGTTATATTACACTTATTATGTGGAAACTGGCTTTGAAGTTTGGCTCATTTTCATATACAAAAAGATGATAAAAGTGAAGAAGAGATTAAGTTGGAGGGAGACCCTTAATTTTTGGTATCTGACAGTGAATGATTGCACCTAGACAAAGTAGCATATAGTGGTCTTGTACATTTTAAGTGCCAGAATTATAATTCTTTACTTGATTTGTGACTGCGTCAAATAAATCACGATTGACCTTATGTTTGTACTTGTATAATTTAATTCTTGTGCAGTGACGCTTACCCCTTTATTGTGTTACTTTGCTCAAAATTTAATTCTTAACCTTTATGGTTTTACTTGCTCAATTTAATTCAACCTTTATGGTTTTACTTGCTCAATTTAATTCTGCTGCAATGGTTTAACATTCAATCCTCAGGCTTGAAAAATAATTGCAATTTTGTTTTCATCAAGTATATGAATATAGCCCATTGCAGTTAAACTAATTTACTGATAGTGAATTATTTTTTTGGCTCACCAGAACCGAAGGTTCAGGGTGAGTTACTTGTATCAAAGGAGGATGCTCTGGTGTCCGTCTAAATGGTGTCAATATTCATCTCCTCTAAAACTGCATGGCAGATTTACTTCAAATTTGGTCTGTATCATCTTTGTGACAGTCACATTTTAATTGGCCCCATTAAGGGGTGACCAGAGCTAAAAAAAGGAAAACCTTAAAACATCCTCTACTAAACTAATTGATGGATTGTCACCAAACTTTGTCTGTAGCATTCTTAGGTAGTCTTTATCAAATTTTTTCATATTAATTTGATTGAATTCTCCTTTTAGGGGCAGCTAAAACTATTTAACTACAGGGGCAAGTTGAAGTTCAGCTGGACTTGATTTTCGACAAATTCATTTGAAAAATATTTCTAACACTGGAAAACAGTTGTTTCTGGTGAGCGATTCAGGGCCGTCATAGCCCTCTTGTTTGACATGTGTTATACCTTCAAAATGTTTATTTATATATTATTTTAGCTGAAGAATCCTGAGTTATTTCTGAATACCCAGGATGTAAATCTGATCTCAACAGAAAACTTGAAGAAGAAGAGGAACATTATTTTCTTGGATTTAGACAACTTTTCCACCTTTTTTAGAGTGTTACTCACAGTCCTCCTGAAGACATGTTTGTATGGGCATTCTACGGTGGTAAATTTTAATTTTGGACAGAAAACACTCAATGAAATTTACTTTGAAATGAAAACAAAATGGTCAAGTATATATAAGTGATAGATGTGACAGACCAAAGGATGCTGCAGACTTTGCTCTGGTTTTGACTGTGAGTTTTAATTGAATATTATTTTATTTTAGTTTTTACACACAGAAAGAAAGAAGAATGAAATTAATTTCTGATTAATAGTTATGTTTTCATACAATCTATCTATTCACTCGGACTT